CTAGTAATAGAATACACCCGGGTGGGGAATCTGAACGCAGCCATAGTAAGAAATCCGATCCGGCGTTCCGATCCGTGCTCAATGGGACGGCACCCTAAGTTTTTCTATGTGCCACCAGCTTAAGCCAATACGATTAGACCTAAAGGCCAAATCACATTAACGATTAGCGATAGATGATTGACGATTGAAGATTGGAACTTAACCAATTGGAACAAAGCAAACCAAGGCTGAAGCTTGTTGATTCGTTAAAATCTAATCTTTAATTGTCAATCGTCAATCGCTAGTGTGATTTGGCCTTAAGATGTAACGTAAGAATTGACCAATCGAGTATTCACAAAATGGCGACCTTACAATTCGACGATTCTCAATATGATTGGTCAATTCTTACCTTTTACGTCTTAAGCCTATTCTACAATTGCGTGAACGCGGTTGTAAGTAGTGTAAGTGATTACGACAACCAATCAGAGTAAAGCAATCAGTGAATAAAACATTCGGATTGGTTGACTCTTACGTTCACGACTACGCTTACGCAATTGTAGAATGGGCTTTACGGTTACTGTTACGGAAAGTGTGTGTGGCCAGCTTTATGATTGGCCAATTTTTATGGCTTACGACATTATGTAAACAAGGCCTAATCGATAGAATCGACCTGATTCTCGATAGTTTTTCGAGAATCGATAATTATCGATAAAGTGTGGAAACGATTCATCGAAAGAAGCGTTAGGCAAGCAAAATGGCGTGTTACTGAAAGATTCATGTATTTTACATTCATTGCAAATGGTCAAACATTGTCATCGTTGTAATCGTTAGAATCATCTGAGTGTAGTGATTTTGTGTTATATCTATTAATTATATTCCGAACTCCATCATGGGGTAAGTGTATCGTATGAGAATTAGCGAGCTGATAACGCGACATCAACAGAGAAGATCCACCATACCTCGAATATGTTGAAATAACATTTATACTTTCTGTTTTATCACGGAAATTTTCCTGTGAAAGTATTTATTAGATACAATGCGTACACTAGATATGTCAGTCATGGTCTTCCAATCTTTATTTTATATTTTTACATATCCCAAAGGAACACATATTTAGGGACTGCCTTAGAAACACCATCTTATAAACTGAATTCTAAAGAAATCTGTCATTAAAGATCATGTTAATATACCACATAGTTTCCTTACTGCACTTATTGCTACTTTATGAATATATAGTTTATATTGATGTTGCTGTGTTGTGTAAATGGATAAACAATATGTTACAAAAAATGGTGCTTCAACTAAAAAATTTTGACAGCTTGTTAAGCACAAATATGTCAAAATCAATCAATTTATAGACTTTAATGAATAATTTTGTAAACTATATTTTAATTTTAGCAAACTTTATCATATTCTTTATTATTAGTCTTGAGGATAAATATTTATATTTTTACTATAGTTTTTTTATATGTTGCATAATGTCTATTTTAGTGCATCAGATTTGGAAGGTCCTGAGTTTAAGGGAGAACATTTAGGGTTAGACTCAGATATAGATGGACTAATTGATCAAAGAAAGAAGAAAAAGAGGAAACATAAGCATCATAAGCATAAAAAAGATAAATTAATTGAACGAGAGGATGAGCGAAGAGAGGAAAGACAGGAAAGGTACAATTGTATAGCAGATAGATATTTTAATTAATATTTTATATTAATTGTAATTAGTACAAATAATATATTATTTTAATTGGGAAATATAAATATTTCATATTTATATTTATAGACGAAAGCATAAGAAACATAAGAGACAAAAGAGAGAGAGGGACATAGAGAATGGTGCTGTAGATGAAAAATTAATATCCAACGTGGTACATAAAGAAGTTGGTATGAATGGAAAAGCCAAGAATTCTGTATTGGAGATCCTTTCTACAGAAGAAAGTGAAGATGAAAAATTGGTTGATTTAGATTCAGACGAAGTAGACTGTACAATCATAGAAGATGATATCGACCTTGAAGAATTAATGAAACAGAAGGTACATGTGTATTTATAATTAATTGAAATAACATATGTTGTAAAATACTATATTACAACGAATCTATGCAATGTACATTTTGTTTGTCATAATTGCATTTTGTGTGTAAAGGAACGGCTGCAAGCATGTTTGGCAAACGTTCAATATCTGTCCGATGAATCGGAAAAGGTAGATGATAAGGTTTCATCGCGAGAAGAAGAAGAAACGAAGACAGCGACGGAGACACCCGATGTGATACTGGTAGAAGACGATAGCGATACCAACGATGTACCACCGAAGAAACGAGCTAGAAGCAAATCAGGCAGCAGAGAACGTAAGAAAGTGATAAAGGCCGAAAGACGTGTTGTAGTTGATATGACTAGAGACAGAAAAATTCGCGAGCAACATAAAGATAAGAGAAGAGATTTTGATAGGAAAAGAGATGAGAAAGTCCGTCCTAGGGAGGAAGGAAAAAGGGAAGAAACACGAAAAGATGATAGATCTTCGCGAAGAATCAACGAGAGGCAGAAAGAAGACGCAAGAAAGGACGAATCTAGCAAAAAACTGGACGAAGACCAGCAGAAACGCAAAGATGTCACAAAAAGGGATGAGGCACGTAAAAGGGAATCGGACAGACGGTGAGTAATAAAAACTAATTTCTCCTCTTGCTTTGCTATCTGTTACAATCGATCGAAATGCACTTATTATTCTATTAATATATATGCAGGGAAGATAATCGAAAACGGGAACCTATTCGCCACAGTTCAAAAACTCATAACAACGAGGCAAAAGTCTCGGATAACAAGAGTCGTGACAGATTAGGTAGTCGCGAGCGTCAAGATAGTCGAGATCGACACATTAGTCACGACCGGCGTAGCCGCGACAGACCATCGAGCAGGGAACCTCGTCGACACGCCAGCCGCGACAAAAGAGATAGCAGGAGTAAAGATCGGCATGGAAATAGAGATAAACATGATAGTAGTCGCGATCGACGAGACAACCGCTATCACGACCACCGCATCGGCGATCGGTCCCGCAGCACCGTAAGAAGATCTCGCAGTCCTACCCGAATGAGATCGGAAAGAGAAAGAAACGATCGATACAGAAGATCCAGATCTCTTTCCCGGAGTCGCAGGGATAGAGATAAGCAGCCAATTAGGGACCATGGTAGAGATCGCGAGAGAGATAGAGAAAGGAATAATAAAAGAGAACGTAACGATAAATATAAGGATTCTTTATCGGAGGGTCTTAAGGTAGAACACTCGGATAGTTCGAGCGAAGAGGATATCAAAGATATCGATATAGAGGAAGAAGAAGATGAGGAAGCAATTATAGAACGTCGACGGAAACAAAGAGAAGAATTGCTCAAGGTAAAATTTATCACGTACTACATTATATTAGATCAGACAAAAAGTTCGGTTGGATTGTTGAGACAAATTTGGCTCTATTGTATTCACACATATATCTGTTACAGACTAATTTACCGTCGGAAAAAATTATTAAAAATTGATCCAAATAGTTTAATTGCCATATATGTATCTCATTATGATCACAATAGTGGAATGTCTTGTGTGTTTTTTCTCTTCTGCAGAGATTGGGTGGACCAAACGAAGACTCCAATATGTCTGGCGACGTGAACGTCGCCTCTGGTTCTCCGGAAAGCCAATCTAATATATCACAAAAGTCTATAGAAGTTCCATCCAATAATAATGAATCAGTTTCGGAGAGTCACACCCCACCACTGCCCACAGAAAAACTCGAGTCTCCGCAATCATTGATCATAAAACGAAAGTCTAGATTCGAGGATGCGCCACCTAACGAATCTGACAAGCCGGCGAACAAAACATCCGAACGGCTTAAACAAGAGGAGAAACAAAATTCAAAGAAATCCAACGAATGGGACATGTTCGCAGAAGCAGATAATATAGGCGATTTTAATGTATGTTCTCTTTATGATAACTTTGTTAGTTTTTTTTATCGTGCATTTCTTATCTGATCCAGCTGATTCATTTTTTACCTAATTTGTCGTTACGTAGAGCCCGACAGTCGAAGGAAAACGTCAAGGAGGACCAGACAATCCTAGCTTGACAGATAACTGGGATGATGCCGAAGGATATTATCGGTTGGTTATATATACTAGTTTTGTTTAATATCGTTTTAATTTATAAATTAATAATTGTGCAATCGTTTATCAGTGTACGCGTTGGCGAAACACTCGACACACGATACGTAGTTTACGGTTACACGGGACAAGGAGTATTCAGTAATGTCGTAAGAGCGAGAGATAGTGCTAGAGGAAATTTGGACGTAGCTGTGAAAATCATCAGAAATAATGAAATAATGTAAGTGTAACCGAAAGCTCTCGATCGACCACGATATTAATGTGAATATTTTTTTTATATTTCTGCAGGCATAGAACTGGTCTAAAAGAGTTGGAGATTCTTAGGAAATTGAATGACGCAGATCCAGAAGACAGGTTTCACTGCTTGCGTCTTTTTAGGCACTTTTTTCACAAAAATCATTTGTGCATGGTTTTTGAACCTTTAGCAATGAATTTAAGAGAGGTGCGTATTTGTCTAATACTTAATCGCACAACGCGTTTACAAAGGCTTTTCAAAATGCGTCGATAATGATATAATCTTGTTTGTTGCAGGTTTTAAAAAAATATGGCAAAGACGTTGGTTTACACGTTAAAGCGGTAAGGTCGTATACGCAGCAACTTTTTCTAGCACTAAAATTATTAAAACGTGCAAATATTCTGCATGCTGACATCAAACCGGATAATATTCTAGTCAGTGAAAGCAAGCTAGTGTTGAAACTCTGTGATTTCGGTTCTGCATCGCACGCCCACGAAAATGAAATAACACCGTACTTAGTCTCGAGATTTTATCGGGCACCCGAAATTAGTAAGTATCTACTTTTACACATAACAATCTTATTTATTCATCAAAATTCGCTTTTTCCTCTCTTCATAGCCTCTCTTTAATACATATATAACTTATGGCTAATCTTGCTTCGTGCGTTCGGGAACGCACATATTGTTATTAGTGTTCTCAATTATTGCAAACAAATGCTCAACGCCAGTTATGTTGCGCATGCATTTGTTCGCATTGTGTCTGTTCTCTGTGATGATTTATATGTCGCACACTATACATCTGACAGGCGTTTCTAGCAAACCACATACATCGATTTTGCGAGCATTAGCTCCAGCGCCTTATGTTTCATTTCGCGCCATACTTAGAACTGATATGATTAGCTAACAGTACACGTCGTAACAGTATACGTGTGCGCACTCGACCACAGCATATTTGTTATTCCATAACAGATTTGTTTAATTAAACACTAGATATGTATATTATTTTGTACAAAAATGTAGCAATATGCAGCATTAATGGAAAGTAATTCTATGCGTTATGCGCTTAAATGAGTCGTCTCGGACGTTTCCGACGTTGAAAAGATGGTAGCAATTGTATGTTGAATGTCTCGAGCCGAAAGTAACGTCGTTATTTTCTAGTTCTTGGTATACCCTATGATTTTGGCATTGACATGTGGTCCGTGGGGTGCACCATATACGAACTGTACACGGGAAAAATAATGTTTTCTGGAAAAACAAACAACCAAATGTTAAAGTACTTCATGGACCTAAAGGGCAAAATGCCGAATAAGCTAATTAGGAAAGGCACGTTCAAGGATCAGCATTTTGACACTAACTGCAATTTCCTGTATCACGAAGTTGATAAAGTGACAGAACGGGTAAGTCGTTACTATACAATTTTATCCATGATCTTGCCCTGCACCGCACCGCGTAAGTAATGCTGTTCTTTACGCGACATAGTGCGACAATACGCGCGATATTTCGATCGACAACGCTAACATATTTTTTCACTGGTTATGTCTTGTTATCGCTCGTTAAAGAAGTCGCGCAGAAATCTTCTACAGGATGGCGTGATTTTCAGGAAAAAGTCGTCGTAATGTCGACACTGCCAGCGACTCGCGACCTTAATACGGAACTCGGTGGAAACTCCCTGCCGCCGGAACAAAGCCGCAAAGTCGGACAACTGAAGGATCTGTTGGAGCGCACGCTAATGCTGGATGCGGGGAAGAGAATCACTGTGAATCACGCTCTGGCGCATCCCTTTATACAAGAAAAGATATAGGTAACCCTGCCTGGGGTCCTTTAGCATCGAAGAATTCACTGACGTAACTTTGTAAAGTGATGACGTTAACGATCCTCCCTGATTAATGTTAAACGTTCCAGATTACTTGGTAGGAGCGCGATTGTCTCTCTATCTCTCTATCTCTTTCTTTCATTCTCGTCCCCCAGCTACCCTTTCCCCTTGCCTAAATACTTTCATTTCTACACATAGGATACCCATGTTTATTTTCGCAGGAAGAGGCGGTGCAAAATTACGAAATTGTCTCGCGCACGACGAGAAGTATATTAAAAGAAAGCGTAGTTCTAAAAATAATTAAACACAAATTATTGCATAATATATCATTCAGTTGCTCGAAACGTTGTACTCCATCCAATTCGGAAACGTTGCTTACTTGTCACTATTGTGAGATTAATAGAGTATCATATTTTTATACTTATATAACAATTATATATATATGTTATATAATTATGTGTATATATACACACATTATGCATATATATATATATATAGTAAATATAATAACATATATAAAAGTAAATTATTATGTAAATGACGTGTCTCTGTATAGATTAGAGTCTGTTGTTGCAATCTGGAAATATTTCGTCGTATTAATAATTTTTTTTCGATATAGAGTATAACGATTCGATCTACGGATAAGTGTCTTCCTGTTTAGAACAGAGATTTTAAACAGAAGTCGAACTGTTGGTTTCCTTTTGGTTACATTATGCTTTCATAAGCAAAATGAGGATAAAATGATAAATTGCAACGACCGCCTCTTTCGGCTGGTACTGAGTATCGGAAAAACTTAGCATAATGATGGTACGTAGTGGTTCCCTTTTCTCGATTCATATGACTTGGAGAGTACGACATCCTTACAAATATCATCCTTCATAAATGATTATAGATCACGCGCTCGTATGAAATTGTACGTTATCAAGAAGGTTTGATATAAAGAACTGTATAAGGCCCTTCGGATCACACACTGCTCGATCCGTTTTAGAGTATTTCATCGGCGACATACGTGCACACACAACATTAGAAGCCTTAGCGGCAAGGAGACTTGTTCTGATTGGAATATAAGCAAATTGTATAGTGAACAGGTCAGCTATTGAAATAAAACTACACATGCTTAACACAATGAGAAGAAAGTCCTGCATTTTGTCTTTTCAGTCTTAAATCATGAGTAAATACGTCCGAATATGTTTCTTACAGATGTATTTCTCTTTCTCTCTCTTTCTCTTCACTTTCTCTTTCTATCTTTTTCTCTCCGTTTCTCTCGTTTTCTTTGTTCCTCTACATCTTTTTTGAAACTTAAGAAAGATTCTTCAGAGATAAATGTGTTTATAAGATCCCATTCTATAGCGATAATATAATATCATATGATATATATATATATATATAGACATATATATCTATGTAAATATATATGTGTATATATATATATTTAAAGCGTGCATACGTTTCCGGCCGACGATGTGTTTTAATATCTATTAGGAATATATTAATATACACATATATTGTGAACATGTGGTCGTATATGCGATGATCGAAAGGAACGTTTACCCAACGTTTCGATTATTATATATGTAATAATACGTATTTGAATACTAAATAGAGGTGAAAGTGTATATAAATATTTGCACTGCGACACAAAGTATAAAAATAAACACTACTTTTAAGGTGCTACGTGCAAGATAATGAGAAATTATCAAAATATAGCGTAGTAGAGCAATTTTGTTTTAAGTGAGAGTCATCGTCATTGCAGGTGTGACACTGTACTCATTGATAGCGCCCATTTCTTATACTTGTTATGGTCGTTCAATCAATCAGATCAATTTCTAAAATGAAGAATTTTGTAATTTGACATTTAAACCGAATATATATGTCGGTACTATTGTGAATGGTTCACGACATGAACGTTGAACGTGACAAGATTGTACGAGACTGCTTATGTTTCAGATGAGTCTTCGATTCAAATCATCGTTAAGTGCGGCCGGACCTTTCGAGGGCCTTTAGCGCCGATCCCGTTACAAGGTATTCATGGGGGATTGCCTTATGGGATACTTAGCACATCCGCTTCTCAGTACATTACTTGTTTAGTATAGTTTAATGACGAGATGTTAAGTCATACGATAGTAGTCCGAATCCAAAAACGCTCTACGTAATTTGTGTCTATTAGAAAAATAAAAGTAAATTTTTCGCTGAATACTTTATATTCAAGAAACAAAATAGAATAGAATTTTCGCTCGAATTCTCGGCAATTCTGACAATATTTGAGTATTTGTGAAATTGTTTTCGTAAAGATAATTTGAAAATTTAAACATGAATAGACAATAAACTGCACTATCACGCGATATCAAGCGTTTTAGTATTTTTGTTCAACGAAAAGGAGAACATAATGAAATATTGATAAGATAAAATTGACGTGAACAGGAAAAAATATATGTTTCTCGGGAACATTTCAATACAGAAGTAAAAGTATACTATGAAACTATGATTAATATGTGCTTTTCTAATTGGCAATTTGGTAATGTTTCACTTGTAGCCCTCCCTGTGAGGAGGGGAGGCAATGGAAGAGGTGATGAAAACAATTGATGAGGAGGAAAGGAAAATATGCGATAGACTTGCGCCTACATCGTGTCTACTGCATAAAAATACATGCACTGTCGCTAAACAGTACAACAAGGTTTATACGACGATTTAACTAGATTTATATCCGCGCGCTAAGGTTTGTCTTAAAGTTACTTGAGATCGCAGTCGAGGACTCGTAAGTATGTACGCAGGTAAAGTAACATGATTATTAACATTTCAAAAGTTACCATAATAAGAATAATGAACACTTGTACCTCTGTTTTCAAAATTGTTTTACTTAGAAATTAAGTTTTTACAACGGAAATATTAAGCTAAGTGATACTAATATTTGCGGTTTTGAGTTTTCAGATTTTTAAAGACTACACATCCTCTATGAAAGCGAAAAGCAGATGCGATAATACTATTACTCTCGAAAAACTTTCTATTCATCTATCTCTTTCTTTTCATTCTTCTCTCATCTCTTCATTTCAGGACTCTTAAAAAACTCTAAAAAAAAACATGTAGAAATAATTTAATGTGAATATAATGTGAATAAAATTTACTAAAATCATATAAAGAGACCTCTATATACACATATATATATATACTCACACACACATACACATACACACTTGTTTCCTTATAGTAAAAATATTTATTTGTTGACTCTTGGAAGGCGAGTATGCCTCGGGTAAAAATATAATTTACAATATACGATACAAAGTTTAGTGACTTATAAAAAATATATGAAATAGAATGCATTCAGTTTAGACATTAGCGTATGTATTTAGAAATTTTTATAAAAATTCTGTATGTACTGTTTATGAATACATACAATGTAATAATTATATGTACAAATAATAAGTGCGACACTGTGTTTAAACCTCATTAAAATCAATATATTTTCATATAACTAATAAATAATTTTGTAAATGGTTCCTCTTATATATATATATATATATATAGTTAACCGTTTACATGAATAAATACATGCATACTGATATACAATATTGGTTTTAAATCTAATAACTTTATTATATTATTACTTGTTTTCTGGTTCTATAAAACCTAAAAGTTCTAAAGATTGTAGAGATTCCATCACAATAATTTCTAAAATCATAAAATTGTATATAACTGTTTTTTACAGTAATATAATTTTAATTCCAATTTCTTACTTTTATTTAATGATACTTGCGATATATTCAATTATCTAATTTGTCACTTATGCAAAACGTAAATTTTCATTTGCGTACGAAACTTTCAGGCCTCTCAGTCTCGCGTCGGATAATATTGAATTAATATTTGGGAAAGTTCTTGAGCTAATTCTGTCGATGATGCACACAGAGTTCTTCTGCTCATCACGTCGAACGGACCTCCTGTCGCGGACGTAAGAATATAATATTAACTCTCTCTCTGCTTCGCTCCATTACTCAACTACGATTTATGCGTAATGTCTTGTAACTGTTTACCAGCTGGATCTATTGATACACCGCCGGCTTCTCGCACTATAAGATCCCCGGCTGCGACGTCCCACGCGTGTATACCAAATTCAAAGGAGATATCGGCGCCACCGAGAGCCACCATGCACATATTCAAAGCCGCCGAACCGAGCGATCGTATTCTGCAACGTAGATCGATTTCTTCGTTAAGTCATTCGTTGCAAAAACTTAATCCGCAAAACGAGACTTACCCATGAACACGTGAAGTAAGAAGCGTTATATTTTCTAAGACTATTTTCATTTTCTCCGGGTCTCTACTTGTTCCCATCTCTACCATTAATAGTGCCTTGCGCAGTTCTAGAGTAACGTTATCATATTAGATAAAACGATGATAAGAGGAAAATTATTGAATCGTCAACATTGCAATATTAACACTTTGATGACTGCATATATCACGGAAAAATATCTACCATCGTTAAATCTTGAGAGTTGGCTTAGATCATATCTAGAGAGATAAATATCTTTTTTGTTTATATTAAGTGCGTATATCTATCTTTATACACCGCCTATGATATTACAATTATAAATTACTATTACCGACAATTTTTTTACAAGGCGATAACAAGACTGATAGAATGAAGTTACGCATATGTGATAACAGGCATCAAAATATTAAGTCTTAAGTCGTTACCCATATTTTATATTTATCATTTATATTGTTATCATTATATATTTCACTTATAGAGAGAACAAATTACCTTTCTCGCCGGATACGCGAATCGGAGCGCCATTGAGAAAAGCGCCTTGATTTTTACGGGCGGTAAAAAATTGTTCTAGGATCGGATTATACACTATTCCTATCTCTGCTGTTTTATTAATGAGTAATGCAACCGATATGCATGTGTGCGGTAAGCCGTGAACGAAATTCATCGTTCCATCGATCGGATCTATTATCCATGTTGGCGCATCCGTTAATATGATCTTCTGACCTGAAGCAGCGGACTCTTCGCCGATAAATCTGTAATATATTTTCTCAATATAGTTTCTCAAAGCGCTATCTATATTGGATCTCTCTTCTTATAGGAAGAGAGAAATTCTTTTGAATAATTAAAATCCAAAAAACAAACCCAGCAAACACAATTATATAATTGTTGCATTGTCGTAATATAATGTAATGTAACAATGCTATAACAGGAATAAAACGTGTAACTAATTATAAAAAGAAATTATGTAACTTTAATATTAATATCGTATAACAGCCGTTATTACGTATTACATCGATGTTGTGTAATAATTATGTTTGCTGGAAAATAATACAGATTTATCGCGAGTATTATACACGAATAGTAACTAAACAATATTCAATTTTACAATTACACTTACTTATGCTCGGGATATCTCGTCGCTATTTCATTGATTAAAAATCTCTCTACCTCTTGATCCCATTCTGTAACTAAATCAACGTCGCATGATTTCGTGAGCACGTCCTTGCGTTGATTAATTTTTTCTCTGATGATCTGCAAACAAGACTCATAAAGTTCAGTTAAATTATTCATATTTTCTTACAGGTAGTAACACCAATAAAATGCCGAACACTTTGACGATAAGCTGATAAGATAGAGGAATATATCATCACTGTATAACGGCTACACGAAAAAAAAAACAACAGCTTGGGAATCATGGTCTTCTTTGCTGTTTGAATTCCCGCAACATTACTCGGATTGTATACAAATTACGCGCGCAGCCGCAGTCTTCTCATCGGCAGACCACAATTGAGACAATCATGCAGCGTCTTACAGGAAAATTAAGGATATCATCATGCGTATTATTCATGATCGGTCGTAGACAATCGATAACTATCCGCCTGCATTAGACAAGTCGAGGAGCTTATAAAGCGACATACGATTAGAAGACATATATTGCGACAGCGCGTAAAATCGATAAACCTTGTTGACACAAGCGCATTCGCGTCCACGAGAAAAGAAAAGTAAATTATTTAAACAATTGTCTTACCGAGCCAGCCTGTTTCACAAGCCGTAAAATTTCGACGTAACACTCGTCGATGTTCGACATGATTGATTGAATCACGAAGTCGCTTTTGTGTTGGACGAGTGGCGTGTCCGTCATGTGCACGCGCGACGATACACGCGATCACGCTCGCGCGCACAAACTGGCTCGCTCTCTCTCTCCCTCTTTCTCTCTCTCTCTGTTTCGCGGATGCGCTCATACCGACTCTCGACGGAACGTAAACGCTCCGCTGTGATGACGTAACATCACGTCAAGCTCCGTGGCTTTTAAACGGCTTCGACGGCATGTAATGTGTAATCGCATATACTATGCCAATAATATACCGCGCCTCATCTTCCGCCTATTTTGTGTTAATCGCATTCGAATCAATTATCGCGTGGTTCGCATCCCGCCACGTGGAAAAAGCGAACAGCGGAGCAATAAAAGACGCAAGCGAGAGAACAGTTTCGCTAAAAATATCGACTATTTTCATTAGTGATAGAGAGGAACGGAAAGGGAGGCAAAGACGAAAGAAACGAGATACACTCTTGAACGTTTAACAGAACGATCGTGATTATAACATACTCTTAATATATATACATATATGTCTTTAGTTATAGCCATATTTGTTGCTTACGTTTTGTTCGCTTTTATATCTACATACATGTACACGTATTATATCACACCTAAAGTTGTTTGTTGTTCCGCGAGGAATGATATGTATGTAACGTGCCTCACGAAGGAGGCACGAGGCGACTTTCATTTATAAGTACGTACACCTCAGCCGCGTATTTTCTTTCAGTCGTGTCTTCTTCAAACGGTAAGAAGAGGTATTACTTTTGTCTTATCTGAATCTTGTCATAGAATACATGACTGAAAGGCAATATGGTAGCGGCGGTGGACACCCTGTATGTACGTAAATAGTTTCTCTTTATCTTATTTATCCAAATTACAGAGAGCAGAATATCATTTTTTTACGGTATATCCGCCAGTAATAACACATATACGTATCATGTAGTTATGTGTGCCACTTGTTTCTTAAATAACGATCATTAATAATTGTGCAATCAGCATATTCTGTTTATTCTTTGCGCACTACTCATAACGATTCCTATATAGAGCATTTTTCATCTTGCAATTAATTTTGAACTTATGTGATTTACAACAGAAGATAACACTTACGTTACTTATCAGCGTACCATGAGATATGTATCGCAGTCGCAATTCCTTGAGGAGAACGACTAATAATTTATTAATTCTATCCATTCCATAATTCTGAAATTCTAACGAGCTATACTTTCAATGTATTTCTTTCATAGTTTTTCGTAGTTCTTCTCGAGGGAAAAGAACGATTTCGATTCTACTCACTCTGAAACGTCTCTCGAGTGACAACGTCAGAATTCGTTGATCAATTAAAAATAATTATTCTATCTCACGTTTATGTATCTTGTACACTCGTCAAATCGTCAAATGACTGGGCGTTTAATAAAATCTTGAGATATAATCGCGTTTCTGATGCTGTGCAAATATGTGGAACAATACGATTCAACGTAATCTATAACTTTTATTAAAGTTGGGAAGTAACGTGTTACCATTACCATTACTTTTTTCGATAACAAAGCCATTATTCTTGAAATAATTGCGTATACGTAAGTTTTACGCAGGTAAAACTGCGCAGGTTTAATCATACCATAAAATAGTTGTGCAATGAAAATTACGTATACGCAAAAATTTCAAGAATATGGGCGCAATCATTACTTTTAACGTGTATTAGATATTCTTGATTGGATAAAAATATCCAGATATTCACTGGAAGACAGTACATGGTTTTATCTCATTTTTTACATAAAAATAATTGTTAAAGTTGGATTTTATAATTTAACTATTAAAAATTTGTAATAAATTTAATAATAGATATGCTTAGTGTAGTTCATTCTCTTTTATAAGAAACCATATATGTATTACACTAAAACTATATATATATATATATATATATATATATATATATTACACTCTAAGCATACCTATTATTAAATTTATTAGTAAACTTAAAAAGTACGCACGTCTTAAACGCACGGCCTTAATTCGAAGAGAAGCTGAATGATACTCTATGATCGGCCAACGTTGACGTATCTCCAATATTCCTATCGCCTATTGCAATTTTTCTCAATATACGTACATGATTTTGCCAGATCTTGTCTTCGGTAGAACCGGGGCGTGTTGGATGGCATCCGGTCGAGCGAACGGATCGATTCTCTCGCGCACTATTCGAATCGTATTTTTAGTAAAGCGAGAATGTATTAAAAAGTTACTTAAAAAGTTTTAAAAGTCAAATTGCAAAATCTGGCTCTGTACTGACAATTTTTGTGTCAAGAATAATAACAAATAAGACGATAAAATCAAGTTTATAAAAAAATATTAGTTTTTCGAGTTAATAGTATTGTAGTTTTGAAAGGTTTGTTGTTTTTAGACACAAACTGGCTACACCAAAAATAATTTAAGCTTAAAACAATAATTTCATTTTAAAATAAATTACGTATTTTTAGTATTATAAAAAAGTAATGAACCGTTACTTTCTTAGTAATGGTAATAAGTTATTTTTTTTATTTAATTAGTAACAAGTAACGGTAACAAGTTACTTTTTACAAAAAGTAACAGTAACGCATTTTTTTTTTTTTTTTAATAATGTTCCCAACTCTGACTTTTATCTATATGTGTTTTTTCTTTTGTGTTTCTGACTTTTATCTGTTTTTGATACTTATCGAACAAATAATGCGAAAAAAAGCTTTCTTAAAATTTCGTTCGTTTCTCCCTAGAATAGAAGCACAAAACGCACGTCTTAAACGCACGGCCTTAATTCGAAGAGAAGCTGAATGACACTTTCATCGGCCAACGTTGACGTATCTCCAATATTCCTGTCGCCTGCTGCAATCTTTCTCAACATACGTCTCATGATTTTGCCGGATCTTGTCTTTGGTAGAGCCGGAGCGTGTTGGATGACATCTGGTTGAGCGAACGGACCGATTCTCTCGCGCACTATTCGAATCGCATTCTTAGTAAAGCAAGAATATGTGTTAAACTTTCACTAAATTCTGATTAAATTAATCGACGATTAACTCAACCTGTAGTTTATCAATGTGCAATTATTATTAAATCGAATCGTTATTAAAACGAGTTAAACTGTTTTTTTTGTTCTTTCTTTACAATTTATATTAAAAATTACTATCAATCAAATATTAACCGCGCTCTATCTTACTAACATACACAGAATTATAAATTTATTGGTTATTATTAGGCGGTAAATTACACAGTTAGAAAAATTACTGTTAATAATTCTATCGATTAATCATCAATTTGTTTAATCAGGGTTTACTGAAACTTATTTTTAATCAACGAAGCCCACCTTTCTTTTTAAGCTCGATCTGCAATTTCTCGTCGAACGTCTTCCCTGCAGTTGGCGTGACGAAACAATAAAGACATTGACCTTTGACTAGATGCGATTTACTGACCACCGCGGCTTCAGCTACCGAAGAATGTTCCGCCAACACACTCTCTACTTCGGCTGTTGACATTAAATGACCAGAAACGTTCAGCATATCATCGATACGACCGGTTATCCATAAGTATCCATCCGCGTCGCGCCTTGCACCTAAAATGTGAACAAAAAGAGAAATCAGCAGTATGCATTTGAAACTCTTTGGGTCGGCTTTTCAATGATAGTTTAAACTTAAATTTCAATTTAAACTCTGTTTAAACAAAACAAATTGATAGAATACCGGCCCTTTCTGTGCTATTAAAGCAGGATTAAAAACTGCAATGCAACTATATACGAATAGTTTCGCCTGAATTTATTTCAACTTCAGACATTCTGCTGTCTCTTTGTCGGCCTAAACGTCAAATGCAATGTAATTCTCATCAAAATTGTCAGATTATGTATTCACCGCCGAGTAAAACGTCGTAGAATTCCATGCATCTGCAAAATTGAATAACCATACAATCCGATAAACGTCGCGCTGGACTTTGAAAACCTCCTACAAGATGTCGTTTAAGAAGATCAAGGCCCGTCAGATATTCGATTGCAGAGGCGAGCCGACTCTGGAAGTTGACGTGATCACCGATTTAGGGTTGCTCAGATCATCAGTACCCTCCACCGTATCAATCAACCCGAATCAAGCGGTGGAAATTAGAGACGGCAACACAGCGGCTTATCATGGTCGCTCGGTGTTCAAAGCAGTCGATATCGTTAACAATGTAATCGCGCCGCAATTGATGAAATCGCGACTGAATGTTTGTCAGCAGACTGAAATAGACACGCTGCTCAACAAGCTGGATGGCACGGATAATAAATCGAAACTCGGCGTGAACGCTATTCTGGGAGTCTCCGTAGCCTGCTGTAAGGCTGGAGCGGTCAAGAAGGGTCTCCCTGTTTACAGGTTATCATTTATTACCGTCAATTTATCTTTAGTTCGTTTTTACAGCTGCGACATTTTTCCCTCGTCGATATTTCATTGAACTTTTGGCTGTCCATGCTTCAGGTACGTCGCCGAATTAGCCGAAAACAGACAATTGTACGTGCCTGTGCCGAGTTTCAGCGTCATCAGCGGCGGCAAATACGCCGGCAATAAACTAACATGTCAGGAATTCGCAATTTTACCCATAGGTATATTTAACAACCGAGTATCGCTTTTTATGTTGTGTCTTTACGCTATTTTATCTCCTCTTGGTATATATTCGCATGTTTGATGCAGGCGCCGAAAGCTTCGCTGACGCCATGAAAATGGGCACCGAGGTGTATCGAGTAGCGGAAAGGAAAATTGTCGAGGCTCAAGGAATAACAGGCCCACCGCCCGTTAGTGACAAAGGAGCCTTTGTACCCGAGATGGAGGATGACAAAGACGCCTTGACTCTTTTAAACGATTCCATTAAGGACGCAGGATACGAAGGCAAAATTAAGATTACGCTGGATATGGCAGCGAGTGCTTTTTACAAAGAAGGTCGCTTCAAAATGGAGAATTCGTTCTATGTTTGATTTCGAGTGGAATTTAACTCGACGAAATTTAGAAAGAGTAATGAGAATCTATTCTTGTACTTTTCACAGGAGGATACGATCTAGCATTTAAGGAGGAAGAATCCGATCCCGACGATTATTTGGAAGCCGAGGCTTTGCGCGATCGATATTTAGAGTATCTGTCGGAATTTCCAGCGATAGTCTCTATCGAAGATCCCTTCGATCAAGAGGACTGGGAAGGTTGGTTGACTATCGCTGGCCAAGATATTCAAGTGGTGAGCGATGCCCTCACGGCGATGAATATCGAGAGAATCTCGGAGGCAATAGACAGAAAAATAGCGAATTGTCTTGTGCTGAGAATATCGCAAATTGGCACTGTAACAGAGCTCATTAATTGCGCGAAAATGGCGAAGATCAACGACTGGAGCTACGCCGTGAGCGCGAGTCGCGCCGAAACGGAGGATAATTTCATCGCTGATTTGGCGGTCGGCTTGTCTGCCGGCCAGTTCAAAGCTGGTGCACCTTGCAGGTAACGCAGAATGAACGATCTATGTTTAAAATATATAAGAAGTTTGGTCTTCGATCAAACTTTGTTTCCAGTATATTTTTCAATCGAGCTCGTTCTCGTTTAAACGTCTTGTCAATTGCAGAGGTGAAAGAATGGCCAAGTATAATCAAATATTGAGGATCGAGGAAGAACTCAGCAAGGATGCCAAATATGCTGGGCCGAAATATCGAAATCCGTTGGCAAAATAAACAAACCAACGGTGCGCGTTACCAGTTCAAATCGAACATAAAGAAATCAACAACGCTTACCATCACCCGTGCAATAAAATCCGTTGAATCGATCAAAGTACGTAGTTTGGAAACGTTGATGATTGCCATATAAAGTCCGCATCATGCCCGGCCACGGTCGGCGGAAGACTAAATATCCTTCTCCTTCGCCTTCGATCACATGACCGTCTTCGTCGAGAAGCTCCGGCAAAACCCCGAAGAACGGAAATGTCTGTTTATGATACGTACATTAAGAATTAGTTACACAAGAGAATTACTAAAGAAAGGCGTATTGTACTTACCGCAGAACCTGGTTTCATAGGCGTGGCACCTGGTAGCGGTGTGATTACATGACCACCAGTTTCCGTTTGCCAGAATGTGTCCGATATGCTGCACTTCCCGTGGCCAACAAGTTTGTAAAACCATAGCCAAGCTTCGCTGTTGATTGGTTCGCCTACTGAACCAAGTACCTGAAACACACGTTAACTTGTGCGTGATATTTCACACATCGAACTAAAAACGAGAATTAACTACATCATGAGACTCACCTTGAGTGTGGACAGACTGTGCTTCTTTACAAACTCGTCGCCGAACTTCATGAGTGACCTAATGGCCGTTGGCGCCGTATAAAATTGCGTGACCTTATACTTGTCGACAATCGACCAGTATCGATCGTTCTCCGGATAAAAGGGCGTACCTTCAAACTGTCAACAAATACAGATTACTAAGAATAAAAAAGAAAGCGGAACGATGAGCGTCTAATTCAGATCGATCGAACATAGAAAATGCATACGTACTATGACGGACGTTGCGCCGTTCGCCAACGGACCGTAAACAACATAAGTGTGCCCCGTGATCCAGCCGACATCGGCAGTGCACCAATAGATATCACCCGGATGATAGTCAAACACGTATTTAAAAGTTGTCGCTGCATAGATCAAGTATCCCGCGGTGGTATGAAGAACGCCTTTCGGCTTCCCGGTAGATCCACTGCAAAAAAAATTATTATTTCAATGAGGCGAGCTAAAGACGCATTTTGAAAAAAGAAAATTGCCTCTCTAAATTTCTTCAAAAAATTTCACTCGAAAATTAGAGTGACAATCAAGCCATTCTGAAAAAATTTAGAGAAAATACTAATTATTTATTTTATTTTATTTCTAAAGATAGATATTCTAAGAAAACATTAAATTTTCTCAAATAGAATATAATTATTAAATATAATTTCACTTTCCTATCGTAATTTTTAATTGAATTATTTTATACGAATATATACAAGGAATTCGTACCTTGTGTAAAGAATAAAGAGCGGATCTTCGGCAGCCATCCAGACCGGATAACAGCTCGCTTCCGCGTCTTCCATCTCCTCGTGCCACCAAGCATCTCGATCGTCGTCCCAAGAAATATTAGTCTCCGTAGCGCCGCTGCCGTTGCTAGTACCATTCACTCCATTCATCTTGCCCTGGGGACAGCTGAGTCTCCTCAAATGCGCAACGACGATGCAACTCTCGAGCTGGTGACCTTGTTTCTTGGCTTTGTCCAGGGCCTCGTCACAGATATTTTTCAACAGAAGTAACTTTTCGCCTCGCCACACACCATCCGTAGTGATCAGAACTTTGGCTTTCGAGTCGAGGATACGTTCCGCCAACGAGTTGGACGAGTAACCTGCGAACTACAATCGTACATCGTCTTTTTTCCTGCTATATCGTTCTGGTTTCGTCATCGGTCTGGCTCACTCACCACCACACTGTGAACCGCCCCTATCCTCGTGCAAGCCAACATTGCGATCGGAAGCTCTAAGATCATCGGCATGTAGATCACGACTCTGTCACCCTTGGAGATGCCTTTCGATTTGAGTACATTCGCGAATCTGCATGTTTCCTCGAGCAATTTTCTGTAGGTCAATCTTGAATAGTCATCTGGATCGTTTCCTTCCCTGAAAGCAACGATTCGAAGGTCCTAACATCGATAAAGATGCGGGATCCAAAGAAGCCAAAAGTAGCACGCTGGAATACACGTGTCAACCGCATTTTTGCGCAATAATTATGTAGCGCAAAACCAACAGCAAAGACACGCCTATACATGTAGCCAACTTAGATTAAAAGATTTATTCATCCCGCATAAAAACTCGAAGGTTACTACTTTCGAATAATTTTGAACGTTACCTTGAGATCGAAGGAGAGTCAAGGCTGGAAGTATGCTTATGTCGCGCGACACGATATGTACATGAATGTATGTCTACAAAAATTCCCCGTAGATAAACATAATTTGCTGATGCACTGAAACCTTATCGCAAAGCAAATTACGATATTATGTAAGATCCCTGATCTTGCGTATCACGTGACACTTTAAACCGTAGTGGATTAAAAGAGAATTGCGTAAATCGTACTACAAGAGAAAAATATTCGATGATATCAGTTATAACTTGTATGATTATGTTATAAAAAAGATTACGTTCGAATTTTTCGTGTCAAATAATCGCCAAACACTGTTCAAACGAACAAGACAATAACAAAAAATAGCAAAAATTATAAATGCAAACAAGAAATGCTCGTAATTGAAGTAATCTAACTTTTTAATTTGTTAAGGCGAGAAATACATTACTTAATGATGATATGAACAATTCGTTTTTTTCTCGTCATATATACTTTGCATTTCGTATACAGCTGCAAGGCTAATTAACATGATTTACAACGTTAACATAATTTTATAGAAATGCCTTTTCAGGAGATCGCTACATATAATGAAATGTAAATGGTGTAAAAACAACCTTCATTAGTTTACCTTCCTCTCTAAATTCAAGGTTGTACAGTTATCTACACCATATGTAATCAACGTATTACGTCATTATCTATATATATTTTACAATTAACGTATTTTTTATTTGTAGTTGTATGTATTTGTGCGATATGACAAATGCTTGTTATTTTGCTTTTCCTTTTCTCTCACTTTTCCATTTGTTACTAGTCGAAAAAAGAAAGATATGAAACATCATTCTTTACACGTCTCGTTGCGTTTGCATTACTATACTCGACTTCTTTGTACAAACGAAGATATATCTTTAGCATCTGAGAAAGCAAAGTTCATTCTAGTAAAATTTTAGTGTAAATCGCGTGACGTTACGTCAGCTCTTGCATGCAAGAGAGCTGACATGATAGCTGACGCGATCGCGCACGATGTCTCGTCGCCCAATAAAATAGCAGGTGTGGATAGTACGTTGAATTTTCGACGAATAGGCTGACGCCGCACTGACCTCACGATCGCGCAGTCAAATCGGTTTTGATACTGTGTAGAACACGAAATTTCACGTTGTTATTTACAATTGGACAAATTATTTACCACCAGTCCGAATTTCGCAAGAAATACATTATCCACGTCCTTGCGTTACATTATCAATGTTAATCGACAATGATCGATAATACGGTGCAAACCGGATATCAAATATGTATGAGGCGTGATATCGCAAAAATTACGTAGGCTTTGCGTTTTTATGTATTCTTACGTGTTTATACGAATACATATGTATAAATTGTACAAATCGTATTTGCTGGAATGTTTGCTCATTTGTAAATATTTTTACAAATATTTTACTTACTATCGAAGACCGATTATGTTATAAGGAAAAATAGCGCGAACATTATGCTACAATAACAATAAAGCAAACCGTAAAAAAAATTTATAGGTAGAGCACGTAAAGTGAGCACAGCTCGAATGACTTGCTAAATATCTATAAACCGAGTATATACTTTGCATGGAAATGAATCACTTAACGGTAGTCAGCTTGATTCTTATTTCGGATTTGACCATTGCTGAATCCGAGCCGCACCGTCCTACACAACTACTTTGATTATTTCTCCGTTATGTCTTACCAGTAGAACGCGATTTTATCGCCATTACCGCTCTTCACATTCTTATCCAATAAGTTGAAGCTTATATTCGTCGACGCTCCCTCCATCCATTTTATAAAAACATCACCTTTGCTCAGCTCGAAGTTGTATGAGAAGAACTTCTCATCGATCGCCGGCGTTTCCCAATAAAACTGCTTCGCAATCTCACCCCAAAATTGCACCGGTTCTTTAATCGATCTAGATCAGGGAGAAAAAAGTAAGTTGGTATCAGTACCACGCTATCGGTAACCTTTTTTATCTTCTCAACATAAATTGAAACAATCGATAAATGTAATCATATTTAATTGATACGCATAAGCATAAAAAATTAAACAATCGTTATTGCAATGAAAAACACGAAATACATGTCTAAAAAAAAAAAAATTCTGGACATTCGAATGTAAACAACTTTCAATATAGCATATATGTATGTAGGTTTTATAAAATATATATGTACATATTATATGCATATGTTAAAAGTTTAAATATTCAAAAAATATTTTTTATTTATAACTATAATAGCATAGAGAAATAATTACTATAAATTATGGTTAAGAAAACTTTTTTTTTTATTAAATTCTGCTATAATGTTAGTGATAATAACTATCATTTTCGTATTAAAACAACCAAAAATATGACTAAAGTAAAAAATAACTATAATTTTAGTTGGATCAGCCATTTTTTATGTCTCTCAGTGTACATGTCCGGCAATTACGTTTACTTTAAAAGTTAAACAATTTCCTGTTTAACGAATCGACTCATCTCTCCTTTCTTACGCGAATTTTTTGTCTCATTTAATTTACAAATTTATGCGCGTTCGAACGGGAATTATGTAAAAACTCGTGATTTACATTGTTACTTCTCCATTAATTTTATCCAGTCACAAATGAGCAATTCAACGAAATAATGAACGAGACATATAGCTACATCGAAATACTGTAATGATGTTCTAACGGTTTTGCATTTCTCATATTTTTATCTCGTTTGATTTTTGGCTGTCGCGCTAATTTACACAAGAAGTGCAGTTTCAGTTCGAAGGCTAATCGAATCGACCTGAGGCGACAGGTCGATACACTTAAAACAGCAATACAAACAATAGGTTATGCGTACGAAGAATTCAGTTGACGCAAGAAGGAAGAATAATAGAAACGCATTTCCTCTTTCATGAATTCCCAGCTGCCCACGCGTAGCACTCGACGTTCCTAAACGGGAATTTCGTCCCACCCCGCGGGATCAATATCGCGTTTCGATTTGTGCTCTTTATAGAACGCGTAACGTCAGAGTCCGTGCCGAGATCAATTTCAACGTTCGCAGCATTATCCAACTTGTCAACCGTGTAAACAAGTCACCCTACGACATCGCGGAAAATGCGAAGTTCGCTTTCTCCCCCCCTCTCCCTCCAATTAACTACTGTCAAGGGTAAATAACTACCTTTGTCATCGCGTTCATCCCCTTTAAGTAGCGCCATGTTCATGATCATCTCTTTGTTCTTTTTTATCATTGTTCATTAACAAGTTACAATTGGCGAACTTTCGCATAAATATACGCTACAATCTTACCGATGCTATACAATCTGACCGGTGTCTTTATTATTTTCGCTTCTCGCAACGTTTTCGTTCCGATTGCCAACACTTCGTCGGCTCAACCCTCGATTCGTCGTCCTGATACACATTTCTCTCACGGAAAACCTCACTGATCTTTTTCCAAATCTCACTCACCTTTCGTGCATTTGCTTATATTGCTCCATGCTATTGCAATGAGCTGTCTTCGCGAGCTCCGGATTGGGGTAGTATATTCTATCCGCCATGTTTCACCTTTGCTTTTTGTCTAGCAGGTTCTCGGACAGCTGACAACAGCGATCTCCGTGGAGATGAGAGGGGAGGATGCTGTTGATAATGCGTGCGGTACGGACACGTCAAGACGCGTGATGTCCTGACGCTCTACTGGGGTGATCGAGGAAGCGTCGATGTCGCAGGTGAAATACGTGCGTTCCTACCACTTCTCCGGCTTGACTGGTAAAGCGTGATTGTTTCACCGTGCGGTGAGCGCGCACGACACGACCTTCCACAGAATGACGAACGAGTAATCGCAACCGACGACAGATTATACGTCCGATGTGTGGCGCATGACGCCAGGTCGATACTATATATTGATGATAACGCCCTAGTATGGCCAGATAACCTTAACGCAACAGTTTAAATTGCTTCTTGCTGAAAGACTACTATGTGATTATCAAATTATTGAGTACGCTTCGATCGAATTTAATAAATGGATATTATGTGACAATGAAAAACCTCACAATTACTTACCTTACTGCGGACATTTTCATACATAAATCCGCCAACACATAGAATGTTTCGATGTTTCGATCAATAATTTGAATGTGCTATTATTCGCCAATAAACGCTTTGAATGATTGATTTGATTTGAAAATAGTTGATCGATATGATCTTATCGATAGACCGACGAGGTAGGAAGTAACGCCTGAAACTACCGCTTGCCCGCGCCACCATCGCTAATAAACTCTTTCGGAGGCACTAAATATTCGGTGTAAATACCAAAATTACCTATTCATCAACCAATCTGCTCATCTGGTGAATCAGACGGTCCAATGAGCGAATCTAGTAGTAGATAGAGAATATCCATAGCAAATACGCAGTAACGTCATCTTTTCTGTTGGTTTTAAAAATTTCGAATGTAGAAGCCGCCAGTATAACCATAACAATCGAGCGAAAGTAAGGTTAATCGGTCATCACAAACTTCAAATTTATGATAACACACAACGTAAAAACCAATGTGAAACTAAATTAAGTTACCTGAAATTTCGCTAATGCATATTTAACGTATAAGTATTTATTCCACATTGACAGTTGAATTTTCGACATGCATTGTCAAATGTATGATGTTGAAGAGGAATTTGAACCAAGAGTTACACCAAAACCAACAACAAAACTCGATGTAAGTTACTTCTTATAACAATCTAATAAAGAAATTTGACACTTCACATATTCTTCTTCTCTTGTAATCATGATAATCATTCTATTAAAGAGAATCTGAAATTTGTTGAACAATTTGCTCCTACTATATATAGTAATTATGAGATTAATTTGAAGAAATTTTCCAGCATTTTGCTGTTCCAAGTGTGCCAGAGGTATCATTAATCTTTGAGAAACCTACACAAGCAAGAAATCTGAATGATGGAGATATTAGTTCATCGTCAGCAAGAATAGCGAGACCAGTGCAACGTTTTGACAAGTCTATAGAACATAATCACATTAATATCATATCACCAAATTCGGGAAATCGTAACTTGCATACAGTTAATCCCACATCACCAAATTCAGGCAATCATGACTCCTATACTGCATGGAAGGAAAAAGTATACTCCAGGGAGAATAACTATGTAAATACAGCACGTGTTTCATCACCATGTAAAAATGTTTATACCTATAATCGTGCACTTCAGACTAATGTACAAGATGATACTGTGCAAAAGCAACAGGAGCAAAGTAAAAACTGTGATACTCAGAACAGACTAATAAATTTAAGACCTAATGATAGAATACATGAAAAGAATGTGAAATTTAGATGTTCTAATACAGAGAATTCTCCTCCACGCCACGTACGTGAGACTGAATTGCTATCTTCTGACAAAAGACAGTTGCTATCTTGCAATCCTCTGCAAGGAGCAACACATTTGACTGATTCTGCTATGATAATGCCTAGCAACGCTTTTGTGGGTGCTTTAAAACAGAATGAACATCTACAAATGCCATATCCGCCATGCCCATATCCTTTTCAGCAATTTTATACACCTAGCTACTCAAATCGCGATATTGATAATAATGAGACAGTGAAGACTTTGTTGCAGCTTGTGAATAATCAGAACGAACAGATCAAAACTTTGCAGTTGCAAGTGGACAGGCTGGTGAGACTGCAGGAAGAGAGCTTTAGGAACAAATCGACATGCGCTTGTTCGTCGTCTCACGCAAATCAAGTGTTTGGATACTCCGCCATAAATTGTACGAATACTTGCACGCAATCAAGTAATCAAGCTGTGAAGCAAAATGCGGCACAAAGTCCATCGGTTACAGAGAATAAACCTCCGGAAAGCCTTGTTGGAGATAAAGACAACAGTAAATTGGATGTAGCATTATTAGAACAGCAACCAAAGAAAGCCTTTATGGAGCAAAAGGTTTCCATTGGCGTTATGACGAGTTTTGAATTCACTGTGCAGAATAATCCTTTTCTAGTGGATTCCGAGGTGTACAAGGAAAAAGAGACATCCGCAGAAGAGAGCAACGATATTAACAGAAGAAGCGCGGTGAATATGCATGATACGTCGGAATCGGTTAAGAGATATAAGAATACATTCACGCGCAAACCTGGGACGGCGCAATTGGAGAACATAGTCGAGGACACGGAAAGTTACTTGTCCTCCAGTCACCAGCAAAGCAGCAATTTTAACGCGAGTTCGTCCGTGAGAGATTCCGAGAGGCATACTCCGAAACAACCAGATTTATACAACACGAACAATACCTCAGAATCTCCCAGGATATATCGGCGTCTTAGTGCCGATCCGAATGAAGAGAATATGCGCGAAAGAGAGATATACATGAAAAAAGGCGGCAACATGGTCGAACAAGCGCAAAGTACGAGGATAATAACGAACACGTCTAGGGACGTAGGTAGCCCTAAGAATGCAGATTGCGATAAGGCGTTTGTCGTCAACGATGCACACAATTATACCGCGATGGATAAAGGAAGTAACAATGAAAGGACGAACGTCAATAGATATAATTCGCATAACGTCCACTTACCCGCAACAAATTACTACCAAAGTCATCGAAATAAGGAGTCAGACGCTAATGTTAAAGAAGCGAGAGATGTAGGTGATAGCGTGATACTGAGCGGAGGTGATCTTGAAATAGTCGAGAGACCTCCACCGACTCCGGAACCAAGTATTCACGTGAATATGCAGGAATACCCGAGCGACGACGAGAGCGACAAACTCAAGTGCACTTCCAAGATAGGTTGGACCTTTTACAACAATGTTTTGGGACAAGTCAATGCAATTTTACAAAACTCCAGTGTTATAGAGGATAAGGAGCATCGAGAGGCTAAAGCGACTCGCAGAGTCGAGCAGGAGGCAGATGACACAGAAGCCAGGCCAGCATTGAACACTGTTAAAGCAACTACTTTGGAACAACTTCGAAAGCTTGGGATTAGCATAACGGACAATGAACACAGAGAGTCGAATGGTAACAATAAAACGTACGTGTCTCAATTTCTGCTTATACTGAATGGCTGTATGCACATATCATACATAGTAAGAACATTGTAATTAATTTTCTTTCAAGGTTGGACTTTGATTCGTCTTATTATCCTCGCCTGGATCGTCAAGCAAACATGATGCATGCCACTAGTGTTGTGAATGAAACCAATACCAGTATGCACATGAAAGCATTGGCATTGAAATATTTAGGTGACGATGAACTGACCGATATAGCATTGCACAAACAAGGATCATCTTCCTTAAAACATCTTATGCTCAGCAATATGCAAGGGACCAACATGTCGTTCGCTACAATGCGCTATTTAGAAAGATATCAATTGTTGCCGGGCCGAAATCAGGATGTTCAAACAGAAAGTAAGTATCAAAGTACCAAGTGATACCAATGTTAATTTAAATATAATGCAAATTCATGTAAAATTTCATATAACGAGTACTAGCACTTGGTTCTGAAGGTGCACTTAACTCATCCTGAACGTATATATACATATACATTTCTTATATATATATACATATACGTTTCTTCCTTTAGATACTAGTCAGGTGTATGCTGAAGTAGCATCTAAACGTGATTTTCAACCAACAACTGGAAAAAAGAAGCCTGCACTGCATCAATTTCCTTTTGTACAAACACCAGGAACCACATGTCCTAGCAGGATATTAGATATTTCAATGTTAAAACGACAACCGAAATTGTTATAAATTCTAGATAAAGTTTAATACTCTTTGTATAAATAATATAATTTTATAAAAAGACTTCCTCTCACACACACACGACTATATAGTTTGGTATGACACAAATGTCACTATTCGTATAAGTCGACTGTAAACGCGGAATATCAATAAACATTATCATAATTGCTTGTATATCTTGTTTTTTATACAATACATTTATATCACTTGTTTTGATATTTTCCTGTGATGCGGACAACGATACCACGTGTCCCAATGACGCAGCGTTCCTGCGAGCCACATGTGCTTTTGCTAGTACGCACGCGTACAATAACGACGCCATCATCTGACATCACCGGCTTGTCACACGTTGATTACGGCAAACTTCTCAAATGCTCCAAAGTAGTTCCGTAAAACATTAATTCTACAGTTTCAAGGTAATTGCGTATATAATAACTATAAGACCATCCTTTTTGTATGGCATTGCTAAATTTTATGAAAACAATATTTGTGATTTTAAATTATGAAGATATTGTAATATAACCTAAAACTATAACATGAACTGTTTACTTTTCCAGATGATCACAGACGTACAATTAGCCGTATTCTGCAACATTCTGGGAGTTACACTGTTCTTCTTAGTGTTTCTCTTCCACTACATAAGCGCAAATTATTTGAAATGAGGAATAGAAAGTCGCTACTCACAGTTTGTTTAATATAACCTATATTATTGGATTGAGAGATGGCATACTATTCCTTGTACGTTGATGATCACAATTCGGTAAATGTTTCACTTTGCAATTGGAGATAACAGGATATCTTATTTATACATATATATATGGCATAATAAGCGAGAAGTACTCAATCATTTTTCCATGTTGTGTGGAGTTGTTAGGAAATAAACTTTGTATTATGGTTTAAAATATTTGTGTTTTATTTCCGACAAATTTTATTTTTAAGACATGTGATTGGATGAAGAAACTACCATTAAAAGTAAGCTGCAATTTATGTTAAAATAGGAATACAATAGTAACCATATAGACTCCTATATAATAGAAAGATGTATATATAAAGTTTTGTAAATAGCTATGCAAAACTCATCAATCAGTTTTAATTGATGCCTCAGGACTGGCTTCAAACAGTTCATTTTTCATGTCACTGAGTTATCATATTGCCGATTGAATATCTAAAGAAGAACTGTAAACTCTCGTAAAGCTCAATGACTCAAATTTTAAATATTTCACACTTGATACAGAAGCTGCAAATATTTGCTTGGAAATAATTCCCAAACGAAGAAATTAATGCATCAATTGTGATTAAACATTACAATCACGTCGAGCGTTGCTCCTGTTTTTCCACAAAATGATAGAGGATCGACTTAAAGAAAAGAAGAGAGAAAAGTGGGAGCAAATCCCACCTTTTATTAACATACAAGGTGTAGTCGTACATAGTAGGGGGCTGTCGTAATACGCGTTAAAACAACATTGGGAGCTTCTTCAAATGTGGATTCATTTGTGTCACGTACGTAAGCTCTGCAGGTACTTTAGTTTTGCGCTAGTAACCGTTTTGAATACGTGCCGCACGCGACGCGACACGACTTCGCCAACAAACGTGCACACTTAAAGAATCAATCTGTATATTTTTAAACGCCACTACGTGAAACAATGTATTCGTAAATTATCGTAAAAAAATGCTAAAATTCGCATCGTAAAAACTTGTTTCGTGTACTTGTGCTTATCACCACATAAGCGTATTTATATTATCTCCAATTGAATATCCTTTAAACCTCAAATAAGTGAGTCGTTGATATTCGATTCGAGTTACTTGTTTTACAGTTCATAGTTAACAGCCGACTGGAGACGAGCAAAATCATGAGTGAACTGGAAACGAAGAAGTAACATGTGTTACAGTCTCTGTTTCAAAAGCACAAGTACTTCGCGCTCAGCCACATAGCAGTGGACAGAGTTGGCGTAATGTTGTTCGTGTTCGCGTTACTTTTTTGCGTAATTACTATTCATGGGTTTACCTTTCGAGAAGCTCTACAAATCGCTACGTGCCTGACACAATGCCGAAATGTGAGTAACTAGATCAGACATTTTATTTGCCGTAATGCACTATAATGCATTACGATCATTCCACGATATAAAGTAAATCGATATAAAAAAACGTGTAAATCACATTATGCTGTTTCTACTGTCTGATATCTTATATCTTTTTCTTTTTAACAATAAACATTTTCGATTCGTAAATTTTGCAGTATGAAAAGTTTACAATATGAAAATTTAGTTCACGACGCTTTAGTTTACACTATGAGATTTGCTCTCAACAGTATATCAACAAGTGCAACGTAAGCGATTTTATATCGACAAGATAGTAGACTATAAAAATTCGGAGGACAGCGATAGCGAACGTAAAATTCCATACATGTTACAGCGATATCGTGATAGAAACGCCATAATCACATCTAATAGGTATATATTTAATAAATGAGTCGCGCTCTGAGAGAAACGTATTCGTACAATCGTATCTTTTGTCTCACGACTTGTTCAACAAAACAAGTTGCAGTATAAAATAAGAATGCGAGACAATCGTCTTGTTATCTAAATGTTATCTGTAAAGAACACATGACAGCGTGGTGGTGTTAAAAAAGGGAATGCTTTTATATATTTAATACTTATAATCGAATGAGATAATCAAGTATATCTCTCCCAAAGAGCGACTCGCGACTCCTGATAGACCTCGCTCGAAATTCACCTATGTTGAAACTATGTCTGTTTTATAAAGACACAAAATAAACATATGTGTTGAACAACAACTGGACACATTTTAAATTCTCACTTCGACACCTGTCAACACCTGTGTCAATATTACTCAAACATAGCTATACGCGTCCCGTACTCGAGAGGCCGGCTGCAAAAGCGATGTTGCATACTTCTCGTTCCTTTCCGATGTGTATACTGAAGATGTGTAAAATTCTAATATTTAATAAAGTCATGACACAATAACAGCACATTCGCACTACCACCGTGTGATATTAACATAAACCGCAATACTGTATGAAGCACATCGCTTCGCGCGATATTCCGATGAACAATGCACGCAATTATAAGTTAAGGTCTCCCTCGTCGCGACTATCTTGATTGATTTGGTTCGGATGCATATTTTTACTTCGACATGTTCTGCAGAAATTTTGGGCATACGTTTCCTTACTTTTGACATTATCAATCAAGAGTTCCGCGGCGACGAGAACCTTAAAGCGGATCGTAAATAAGCAACTATATTGAAAGAGAAAAGTACTGAGACGGCAGACGGTAGATTGCATAATGTATGAAGCGGGTTCAAGCGTGTTTATCGTCTTTTTCGCATTTCCTCTTGTACACCTGCGGAAAGTCGCTCCTGCAAACTATGTTATAAAGCCTCTTAACAGGCTTAACAGCCTCTCAACCAATTGAAAACTGATTGAAATTTCTGCTCTCGTAAGAGACTACGCCACAATAACAGCGGAACAATGTCTTCTCAGGCAACTTCCAAGAGACGTCTTGAAAATTCCTTAAAAAAAAAAGAAGTCTTTTAGAAATTTGTGCTGACTGGTCGGAACGAGTCTTATTTGAACGAACGTTTGATTAGCCGCATAATTTCCGCGACATTCCGTTTCCCGCAAGTCTCGATTTGCTTGCCGCATGCTGCTAACCAAGTTAGCGATATACATAAGACAATCGTATAACGTGTACGCATACATATAGTATACGTAGTGGATCAGACGCGACTCACCAGACGAACGCATACTCATAATGCTCCCGACAGGATTCTGTAATCTGATCGCGACATCCTATGTTTTTATCACGCTTATCCCGTTGTCTTACTTGAGACTGGAGGTATGTATGTTGAGACGGAGCGATTTACAATCGATGTAGAGCTCGATTTTACAAGCGCAAGGTAAATTAAAGTTCGACCGTGTTACCCTCACAACCGAGGCGCATCACGGTATATTTTAAGTATCATTTAAAGACTTAGGATGTGTGCAAACGGATGTGTGACCATGCCGGGAGCGATCGTGTTCGCATAGTGCGCCCGGTCGGTTCAAAAATACATCGCTGAATATTTGCCAATATATGCTAACAGAATTTCGTGGTGTATGTCGTGCACGCGTGTGCCGTTGCTTATTGTTATTTTTATAATATCAACGCGATGCTTTAAATTAGTGTTTTGAATTGATGCTCGATTAATATTTTAAGAAAACTAGATAGTGGAAAGTTCGTCCGCAAAACATGATATTTCGATATGCTAATGCGTAATAAAAAAAAATGTTTCGTCTTGTTTCAGGAATTATGCCGGAACAATTGTTCACGACCTGTGGGCGAATTTGAGCGTAAGTTTAACCGTGAGATAACTAACAATTGAACGTATTACAAATATGTTACAATATATGAGACTGTTTTATGATAGTTTATCCGGAAATAAACGAAGAAGCCGGCGCAAATATTAGTCTGCATTGCAAGGGAACAAACACATTGATGATCAAACACAATCCCGGAATCTATGTTATCGAACAGAGTGCTTCTAATGACACTTGGAATGCGACAACAGTGGTAAACGTGTGCTTTTTGTAAACTTAAACATGTAACCGATTACTTGCACTAGATTTATTCAGAAGTCTTCTCCCATAGAATACATATTTCACATTACACCTATTGGATTATTTCTATGTAAAAAAACAGCTTCGTTTACATCAACGTTTATTTAATATATGGAATATCTATGGAAAAAGACTTTCAATTCGATCTATTGTGACATATTATCAAGTAGATTTCTTTCATAGAGTGTCAACGGATTGTCGACATTTTTTAACTTGACGGCGAGCACGTTTTATCGTTATCGTTTGCACAGAGTAACACAGCGCGGAGTATCGTTTGCCGAGACGTCCAATTGGTTTTCAACTCATGCAGGTATTAACTTTGGAGAGAAACTCCTCATCTTGATGCACTTTCATACATATTCTCGTTATAATCATTATATATTTTCATGACTATTACTCGCATTACTATCCTCTTAAGATCAATTTATATTAATATTTGCAGTTGATTATCAGCCACGCGCAGTCGAGCATATCTCATTGTTGAAGATCGAAGTAGAAAGTAAAGATGCTTGCAAACTACAAGCGGAAATTGTTTTTAAGCCTGCTAAAGGTAATTCCGACGCTTAAAAATCCTTATTCACCATCATGTTTATACGTATATATACAAAACATTGTATAATTATATATTTTAGATCGAAGCTGTAACTACAACATATTATCTTGGTCAGGGGAACATAACTTGATCAATTTTGATGTAGAAAAGGTGAGAAATTGTACTGATACGCGCAATAACCGTTGAATATTAACAATCCTGTATCTTCCTTAGATTTTAGATTTTCGCTTCTTTCTCAGAAACTTACGATATAATCAAAATAATACCGTGACAATCGTATCCGGTAACGATGATTTCTCCAAGATCAGTAATAAGACGACATTCACTTTTTTCACACCATCGTGCTTGGAAGTCCACACTAACTTGAGTATCTGTGGTGAGCCATTGTAAATCTGTAATTTAGCAAAAAATTAACTTGCTTCGTGGAAGTTAAACTAACTATTGTTATATACGTATAATGTGACTGTATAAAAATTCTCTTGATTACAGCGCCTGAAGTGGTGAAAGGCTTGCGAGTAGAGCATATTCAAAAACGCAAAGGATCGTACGATATCAAAGTCAGTTGGAATAAACCCGCTTTGCAGCCGGACAATTACACGTTGCAAATAGACTCGTTTCAATTCGAACCGCGTTTGTTGGTTGTACCTGGAGTAAATATTATCGTAATAACGATCGTAAGCACGTGTCATAAGCACTCCCTAAGCTATGAATTTGAATCTTCTTGCAGAATGTAGTCGAAGCTCTCTTCTTAAATGTCGATGTGGGGCCGCGGTATGACATCGGTATCGTGGCGGAGTCGGCGGGCGGTGTTAGTTTGCTGTCAAGTATATCAGAAAGTATTGATGAAGAGATACCAGGTAGGTATGCAATGATTATTTCGACATGAAATCGATTAATAATGCATAAAATTTTTATAATAATTGTAGAACTGTCTCATCGTGAGATTATTGTGGCATTACCGACACTAATAATTATCGTGGTGGTGTTCGGGGCAATTTGTATGCAACGTCGTAATAAGAAGAATAAGAAAACTAATATGAGATATGTGCATTTCGAGGTGAGTCTATTGATAAAATATGCACGACATTTATGCGTTAGGCGATGAAATTACTTGAATAATAATCTTCTATTTGTCGAAAGTAGATTTAGAGACTTATCTGTTCAACAGGATTTTACGGATTCCCTGAAAAAGCCTTTGAAGCAAGATTACGCAGTCGAGAATGGCGAGACTCTTCTGTCGCGTGATAAGTTTGAGATCAGTCCACAACAGTTGAAGTTGAAAGATGTATTGGGCAGTGGAGCGTACGGTATCGTCAGACTTGCTACCTTGCAGGATGAATTCGGTACTGTTACTGATGTAGCTGTGAAAATGATGAAAGGTATCATTATGGATACAGAAAGATACGAAAAAAAGTATTTTTAATAAGATACAATACACGTGTTAAAGAAATTACATCACATGTATATAATAATTACATATGAAAATATTAAAGCAGCGATAGATTAGTACAGATAAACGCAATGTCATTTTTTTGTACAGATGATCCAACAGTGGAGGATATAAAGAGTTTTCATCAAGAGATCTCAATGATGAAGTCAGCTGGTCAACATCCGAATATAGTTTCTTTGATTGGATATTGCACTTTGTACAATAAACCTTTACTAGTGGTGGAATATTGCAGCAAAGGAGATCTACAGACTTATCTAAGAACGGTGAGCTGTATATAAAATAAAAAAAATGTATTGATCTCGTCCGTAGTAATTAATTTTGCCTCGTTACTCAAAGGAACTATTTGCATTTCATTGAAATTTCAGATTTGGCAGAATTTAGTAAATGCCGTATTCGAGCGTAGGACGCGACTGCAATTCGTCCCAATGACTTTTGTCAATAAAGGCACAGATCAAGGTTTTAATATTGTAATAATATTCGCACATTACGCATTATATAAAAATGCTCAATTGAAAACATTTGTTCTACAAAAACTTATATTTCTCGTACAGGAAAAAGCGACCCCTACTGTAAAAAAGTACGCACAATCGTCAATCGCTTGTACGATATTCAACAAGGTAAATAACATAGTTGACTCTTCAATTTCTACTATATATACATACATAATGCAAATTATATATATATATATATATATATATATATATATAAATATTTTGTAGACGTAATAAAATACACGGAAAACGTCACTTGTGCCGATTTGTTAAATTTTGCCAGGCAAGTGGCTACAGGAATGGTAAGATATATATCACAAAATATTAATCTACTTTCTACACACATAATTATGTTATGCTTGCACATGGTACATTTTATGCAAGAACAATAGATAGATTGTCTTGTTGAAACAGTGATATTTGCTAGATTTTACACCAGTAACTCAATACTCTCTCAATTCTGTTATTTGCGTACAAATCAGAATATGATTATATTATTAGGATATTATCTTTAGGAATTTTTATCTTCTAATCGGATAGTGCATCGTGATTTGGCTGCTCGTAATGTGTTAGTACGACCGGACAGAGTGGTGAAAATTTCAGATTTTGGTCTCAGTCGTGATATCTATCAAGAGAACGTTTATCGAAAGAAAGGAAATGGTAAATTACCATTAAAGTGGATGGCAATCGAAGCTTTAACGCATCAAATATACACTACTTACAGCGACGTGTAAGTCTCTTCGCTGAAATTGCATATGTGCATTGTGTAGTACTCATTTGATCGTTCACGACGAAATTCGATTTACAGATGGGCCTTTGGCATTCTGTTGTGGGAAATCGTTACTTTAGGTGCGATGCCGTATCCCAGTACTCCTACAAATAGAATTCTGCAGCTTCTCAAGTCGGGATACCGCATGGAAAGACCACCAAACTGTGGCAGAGAATTGTATGTATATATTAAAATGAAACATTTCTAAAAGATAATCGTAATTTTTAAACTGTCAAGTTTTCTCTTTTTGCTACTTAGGTACAATATAATGTATTCGTGTTGGAATCTTAGACCTCAAAGTAGACCTACTTTTACCGAACTGAAACAAAGCTTGGACAAATTACTCAGTAATTATTCGGAAAACAAGTATCTAAATCTGTCCGAAGTTTTGCAAGAATCAACCGATGAAAGTAACGAACCAAGATCAATTAACGCGTGCTAAATAGAATTAATACGTAGAACAACAATAATAGAGGCACAAAGTAGCGCATTTTATCATCTAAAGAACTTGTACCGTGTGCAAAATCGTTTATTTTCTAACCATACATACAATAATCTGTGGTATAATTTCTTTCCTATACATAAGTGTGTATATACAGTATGTTACTCACAATCTTAAAAACTCAGAGATAAATACGTCAACTTAACTATCTTAGCTCTTGGCTTTAGATCAATCATTAACAAAATGTCTATACACAATATAACGCGATATATGTAAAATTGATCACTCATTCAATATATGTTTTTTTTTGTCTTATCCATTTTGTGTTTCTTCTAGAAAATACAAAACTGACGAGTGTGTCGCGCATAGATAAAATACTATTGATTATATATTACCTCGCAATATGAAACTTAGTTAAGTCTAACTTAGAGCACCTAATGTAGAGATTTTAATTTTTAATACATAAACCACGCAAATGTAATCGTACACGTACGTTTTATGTAAACGCACATATCATCGCAAAAACGTTTCCCTTCGTAACTTGGTACTTGAAACAACTCGTCAATCTTAAAAAATGCAAAGTATATAATTTTACATGGCAAGGAAAGAGTACTGTATTTTGTAGCGTCATATTTGTAGCATGTAAAATCTTTCGATGTCATCTCAGTGTTCTTTTTATTAATGTAATAGATATACTAGCGATTGAATACTAGCAATTGATATGAAAAAGAGACACCACCCAAGCAACACAAACATTGAAATACAAAGACGTTTAAAACGTGTTCTAATATTTTCTTTTTTTTAAGTTTCCTCAGACTTTTAAACATCTTTTGGTCTTTTGTGCTGTTTGGACGCCTACAAATAGATACTGCTTCACTGAAAAGTCCCTTCTGTAGTATCACCAGATGTTATCACTCTTTGTACAATTTGAGATTTTCTGATAATTATGTAAAATGTATAATTAATGAAAATATGCAATATTTCTTTAAAACAATAGAAATACAAACTTAGAAATATTCCTCGAAAAAAAATTTTAATTCGTTTGATATTAAATATCCTGCAATTTTCGATAATTTTAATGAAATTATGTATATATAATCGAAAAATTGTTAGAAAGGTCATAGAAAAATTGACATATTATATAATTAGAACGATATAAATAGTATATTCTTTTTAATATTAAAGCATACAGTAATATATTTTTCAAGATAATAAATAGTATAGATATATCATGTCCATTTTTAGAACTCAAAATACGTTTCAACTACGATTACCGAAAAAAATATTACAGATCTATGGTTGCAATTTAGAATAGCAACATCATAACTGCATTTACACAAGCTTTAATTCCGACAATAGAAATTTAATAAATCATGATTGTGTATGAATGAATAGGGATTTTCCGATTCTTTAGTGTTAATAATCGTGTCTTCCTAGAACGAAGATGTAAATTTCGCATAAGTACATTTTATACTTCCGACTGATTGGAATGTGACATCTGAAAAATGTGCTTTTACAGTGACGAGACTTAGAGCGCAGAACCGACATCTTTCGTTACGTCTTCGTCACAATTAATGTGCTATCACAGAGAAAGTTGTTGCGCTACTACGTATGAATTTTTGTTGAATAATTTCCTCAATTCGTTTTGATTTTACTGCAAATCATTACGCAATCTTATCCATGGTTCTTGGAAATCTTTACATTTGAACTCATCCCTAATCTCATTTAAAAATAAATCATCTTGCAATATTCCATATTATATATTGGTATTACCAAAATTATGAGAGAGAATCAATTAAAGTTTCTTTCACGAATTTAGTATTGATCCTTCCTTAGCCCTCAAAATCCAAGTGGAGATTCAATTAGAGTGTAATTAAGCTTAGAAATTGGGATAGGACGATAGAATAAAGTTTGCCGGTCGATGGAAAAATAACAGAAAAAGAAGGCAACTTATAATAATGCTATCCTGAATGAAGCTTAATTAGTCGATAATTACACCTTCACTTAGATTTTCTATAAAAAGGAAAAGAAGCTAATTTCGAACGCCTCAGACAACACATATTATCGATTCCCGTTTTCTTGAAACATCTCGCCGGTTAAAGTTCCAAGTGTAAATTCATTTAGTTACTAAAAACGCAGTGTCACATCGCGACTGAATATAAGGTAAAAATTTGTTTGAAAAATTCGTTCGGTAATAGACTGTGTGTGTCCTGGGATATTATGGTTTTACTATACACGTATGCTGTAGTCTTAAAGACTGGCGACTTAAGCATTATGGCTACGTTGCTATCGTTTATATAAATGTAATCAAAGAACGAAGTTTTGTATAGTAATCTTAACCAATAAGGATTATACAACAAAAACATTATTCAGTTAATAAATTTCTTTCTTTAAGAAGCCAAAAATCACAGACAATATAGTCTCTATATCGGTATTATTTGCCGATAGGAATCTCAGTATTGACATTCTTACTGCCTTTTGTACCACTTACGATGCTACCTATATCAGATGCTGTCATTTCTATTAATTAAACTATCTTCCTTATCAACCGGCGGTGGGCCCGTCGTTAGTGTTGTACTTGGCCCTGCTGTTAAGTAACCGGCGGATACAGGAGTGCCAGCTAATGACAAATCGAGATAGCGATTTAATAATTAGCTGAGAACACTCAAGCGTCGCATTACAGTCACTCGCGTGTCTTACCTGTAAGGTAACCAGCGCTGGTATTATTAGAAATGAACAAGTCGTGCCGCTGATCCTTATACTCTGCCCATACGCTCGACTTTTCCAAGATGGCATTCACTTTCTCGCCGAGCAGTAAACTTCTCGTCATAGCTTTCAAAGCTTTTACTATCTGCGCTTTAGTTGTGGCGGGATTCTCAACAATATCTAGTCGTCCTTCCAATATATTTAAAAGATATGGTACCATCTCGGCATCCAGCGCCTACACATAATGCGAACGAGAATATGTATATTTTCCCGAGAACGTATTTTAACGTGTACAATCGCGCGCTTGAACGCTCTTTTACGCACCTGTTTAATAAGTCTATCCTCATTCGTCGAAAATAATCTATTCAGTGTCTCGCATGCTACCGCTATCATGTCCTTCCTTGATTGCATCGCATGCTTTAACGGGCTTATACATTCCGTTTGACATATAGACGAGATACAAATCTACGTGGATATAAAATCGAGCAAGTTAGAGACGTAGCTACGGATATACAGACATACGGCAAGGGCAACTCACTTCGCTCGTAGCCAGCTGATGTAGAATCAATATAGCCGTCTTGTATACTGACGGCTGACTATTCTGGATAGCCATTTGTCGACAGAGTCGTGGTATATGACCCAAAGATGGTACTTGGTCCGCCAAAGTGGGTTGTGCTTGAAGGAGACATACAAGAGCCTGCGTCGTTAATTCCAGCATATCCGTCTGGTTTGTCATTAAACACAAATGCGAAAAAATATACGTGTAAATAATGAGTACGAGGCACAAAGGATAATAGTTTGAGTGCCAGAACTTCTTAAAGAAACCGTTCCCCTTAGGCTATTATCAGTATTAAATAACTAATATTATATACAATAATTTTGTAAATCTGCATTGAGTATTTTTTGTAACACTTACGTCAGTCTTCTCTTTGGACATTAGTGTCAACGTAGTGTCCATCAGCTCGCTTAAGAATTCTTTCGGTTTCCTAAGCGCCCAAGCGGGACTGGCTATGAATAATCTAAGATACACTCCACCTACGACGGGTTCGTTGGTCGCGACGTCAATATTATTTTGTGTATCGGGTAACTTTAATATGGCATTAGGATTTCGTCTCTGTAGGGCGTGGTATCTAAATGATGATGTGCAAAGCATGATTAATTCAATATAAAAGTGAAAAAACATTAAAGAAGTCAGGCACATCGGTTTTTAAAACTTACTCGTCTTTTAACTCGGCAATAATTCTCGCCACTCTAGCTTTCGCGTCATCGTCCCATATTAATTCGGGATTTTCGTGCTTCGTCTCGAACATGTGGACGCATTGTTTGGGGGCATCGCGAATAGCTTCGCTGAATAGCCTGGGTAAAAATTTCGACAAGTCGAGCTTCACTTTCGGCCCGGCCAATTTGTCGGATGACATCTTTGCGAGTAATTCAGCCGCAGCTTCTCTTATCTGGATATTACTCGAATTACAAAAAAGATCAAGAACGTATACAACAGCTCCTGAAAAACGTTACAAAAGTGCATTCCTCCATTAGATCCAATCGTATCGGAGTGCCGATATGTAAATTGTTACGGATCTACAGATTAGAATCAGTGTTTTTGTATATCTTTATATGTAACTACATATTTTACAAACCTTTTGCTAATGCCTCTTTTACGATCTTAGTCGAACTCATCAACGCATACAAAGTTTCTAATGCGAGAAGCTGACATTCCTTTAGGCTGTGCAAACATAATAACAAATGCACTACAACTTCATTCGCGGCTATATCATCAACGCATTCCTGATTTTTGGTAACATTACTGATTACTTCTAGAGCGCTTCTCTGAATGAGTTTGAAATTATTACAACTCAGAAGTCCGAACAGCAATTTAAAATGTCCCATACACTGCAGCTCGATTCCAGGATTATTTTTGATAATATTCTTTAGAGCTTTGAGCGACATTACAATGTGCTCCAATTTTTCTTGATCCTTTTTACCCAATGCGACATTTCCTAACGATGTTAAGTACTCCCAAGACTGTGATAAAAAATCAAGCAAGTTTATCGTGAAACTCTTTGGATTCTGAAAGTTAAACAGTCCTCTAAGATTACTTTGGTCAATTTTGTCTACCGTAATGATTATTTAAAGCTGGCTCGTGTACTTGTTTCTAGAACGGATTAATTTACCTCTATCGGATACACCGGTTGTTCATTGTACACTTTGACGAATATCTCACCGATTACCAATTCATCAGCATGAGCGGTATACTTAAAGTCACTGAAATCGTTTTCAAAGTTATCACTATTGTTTAATCTCTCTTGCCGTTTCATTTCTAGATATTCATTTAACTCCGCCCTGGTTCCATTGTCCCAGATCAAATATGGATTCGAACAGTTAGAATTTAATATCTTTAAAATCTCCTCAGGTTTGTCTTTAACAAGCTCACGCGCCAAGTAGGGTGTTAACAAATTCTCCAAAGCGGCAACCGTCACGGGATTATGGGGTGTCTCGTCCTCCCCTTTCATGTAACCACCTAATCTGGCGCAAGCACGAACCGCCAATTTAGCTAAGTTATTGGCTACTTCCTGACGATTTTCATCCTGATTTCTTTCCACGCCTCCCTCCTCTAGCGTGTAATCATAGTTAAACATAAAGAGCAACAAATCCCATAAAGCACCAGATTGCAATAGCTGCATTTGTAATATGCTATCTGTAGCGAGAGACGAAATGCATTCTGTGGCGACTGCACATAACTTTGTTAAGTGCTGTAAAGAAAAGGTAATCAAAATTATAAGATAATTTGTAAGATAACGTTCTTCCTCCGCTCCCTCTCGGAAACAGAATAGATCAATTAGTAAGTAAATTCTCGATATATATACTACAAAGCTATACAATACCTTGAAGTGCAGGATTCTGCAGAGGTCTTTTACAAGTTGTGGCAACTCGATAATCTTATCTCTGCATCCTCGGAACGACCCGGCAACGGCGAAACACCTAGTGATATGCATACAAACTTGCACCGCTATGTCGGTGGGTTTGCTCGACTTGCTCAAAACGGATACACATCGCGTATACGCTTCCAACAATACATCTAAACCACCCTCCCGTCGCAGTTCTTCGGCATTTAACGCAGAGCAGTGTACAGTGTGGTACGCGAGTTCACTGGCTGCTGCTAGTAATGGCGCAGATTTGGAGAACAACCGTTCGTCGTCCGTCTCGAGTTTGATAGTCTTGATAAGCTGGGGATAACCGGCATACTTGTATGGTCTAAGTTCGTCCGCGTATCTATGAAAGAGTATACTTTGAGTCCTCAAAATCAGAACGATGTTGTCAGGATTGGGGCCAGTAGTTGACCAACAACTGCGACTGCATAGGAATTCGTATGCCTGGCTAACGGCCTCGAATTTGTCCTAAAATTCCCAAACGATACGTTTTACATTCGCATTTGTATGGAAATCACAAAACGCACGCGAGCGAGCACTTACTCTGCCCTCGGGATTTTTATCAGGATGATACATTTGCGCCAATTTGTAAAATGATTTCCTAACAATCGCTCCGTCGTGTTGTTTGCCAGTGGGTAAACCGAGTTGCTTGTAAGCTTCGTCTACTGTCATTAGAGGCGGTTTCTTTTCTACTTCTTTCTTCCACGCGTCCAATACATCTTTTAATAATTGTACCTGATAATTGTACGTCACACTCGCGTAAGTCACTCGTAATATCGTATGGAATACGTCGCGATTCAAATTGCTTCAACTTACAGGTTTCGGGATAGGCCACTGTGGAAACTTGACAGTATCACAAAGATGTCTGAGATAGAATATCTGGCAGAATAATTCATTCTCCAATTGCGGGTATCTTACAGCAGGTATAGCGATATACTGATACCTGGCCATAGTATGACTTCGTAACTTGGGCGTAAAATCTGCAATGTGCGCAGCAATTTTCTCGATAAGCATTCGTCGCATTTCCGCGTTCCAGATTGCTTCCGGTGTATCATAATCTCCAAGAAATATCTGCGCGAATTTTTCTGCCCCGTGATTTTCTAAATAACTCACCATCGCGTCGGGCAACAGTTGGCCAAGAATACTTCGTTGCATGATATCTGAGGAAGTATTCTGAAAGATAAGATAGCCAGATCATATGTCCTTCTAGGAACATCCACTGCGGAATACTACGAAATAAAAAGACATTGATATAAACTCACATCGTCGCTCCTGAATGCTTGCTTGGTGTGTGTGAGTTGTAAGAACCTCGCGATCGGTAGAACGTTGGAACCGGTGTACATTAAGATAAAGTAAAACACGCCGGTGAGATAAATTTTCGACACGTCCGCATTATCCCGCATGATCTCGCATAATAATGTAGCGACTCTTTCAACTAGAATTGGATCGAACGTTAGCAAAAGCTGTACAATATGCGGCAGGTACTGAAGATCGGACAGCAATCGCTTCACACGTGGTAACGGTCTGATTACCGCGTCGTCGGCGTCTCTACTTGGAAAATATTCGCACATCTTGATTAAAATATTCAAAATTAAGGTAGCCAGATCACTTTCATTTATTACGGGAGTCCCCCTCGCGACGAGACTCCACTTTAATTGCGGCACTTGTGAAATCGTTTTCCATCCGTCTAGCCCTTGCGCCCAGACTTTCGTCTTGTGAGTCATTTGATTCAAGGCGTACAATTCTTTCAGATCTTTCAGACTGATCGGTCCCTCACGCTGATCCCCATTATTATAATACCATTCTTTCTCCATCCGTTCCTGCTGCGGGCCGGCTTCTATCACGTTAGTTTGCGTTGGTACAACAGCTCGGGAGGTATGCAAATGTGCCAGTGTCAGTAAATCGACTAAGGTTCGCACCCCGTTTTGATCCATTATATCTTTGACATTTCGCCTATGTAATATGAGTTTATTTATGAACATAACTAGCCTATCGCGCTCCGTTCTATCCGTGCAACGCTCCAACATTCCTAGTATATATTTTGTATCGGAGAATGGGCCAATGTCTTCGTAATATCGACCGTACACTATCGTCATTGCTTGCAAGCAAAGGCACTTCATTTCGATTTTTGCAGTCAATAAGAATCTATGATATAAATCATTAAAAAACTCGTATCTGCAATCAGTAGTGAAAAGTCTACCGTTAGATATTTTCAGGTGCGGACGCGACAGAGTGCAATTTTAGTAAATGAGAAATAAATATATGTCGGCACTTCAACGTGTTACTTAATTTTTTTAAATCGGTTACTTACGATTTTCTTATCGGGCTGTCGGGACTATCTTTCTCCAATAGAAGTCTCAAGTAGTAATCTCCAATTTTAACTTCATCCGAAAGACACTGATATTGCACCTCAAACTCCCTGTGATTCCACGCGATCAAAGTTCCACCGGCCAAATCCTTGTCCGAGCTGAATGCGCGGATCTCATTTTCCAGCGCTATCCTCAACTCCTCTCTAGTTTTGTGATTCCAAATTAAGTTTGGCAGTGCGTGATCTTGATTAAATTTATAATAGAACAATTTCCAATTAGCTTCAGATTTAATTCTTTCTCTGCGTTTTCTCAAGACTATCGGACGTTCTTTGATCTTTTCTCTCCGTTCTATCCCAATTCGAGCGCCCCAATGCTGCAAAGCATTCTCCACGTGTTTCTCGACCACTCGCATCTGACGTTCAATAGCGATCCACTGTGGACTTTTTTTATTTTTCGACGCATGATCTATAGCTATCTTTAAGTTGTCACGATTGTTCAATCTTTCTTCTTCCAAGAATGAATCTGGTACTTTTTCATCAGAATCCAAGTAATTCAACAGACCAACCGGCTAAAGATAATTGATAACAATCCAATATTATTTTTAATTGTGACGGCAGTAGATCGTATCTTCAAAGCACAATAGAAATAAGGTCAACTCACCATAATTCGTTTCAACAGTCCCATAGCTGTGGGATGTCCAGTCACCCACAAACCCACAAGGTGTCGGCATAACTGCCGGTGCGTTAATAATCTACTGTCACTGCCAACAGTAAACAAACTATTTAACAGGTGTCTTGGTAACGCTCCTTCAGCGAGCGCCAATTCTTGCATTTTAGCTGCTACTTCTGGCGCGCCTTCCTCAATGATCGCTCGCATTATCAATCCAGCGCCTTTAACCACAGCCAGTGAAGGGTGTTGGAACAATTTAAACAGAGATCTTCCTCTTGCAGCTACCATCTCCAGGAGATTGTCAAAATGTTTACCATCGGTTGTCTCGCTATATGGTACGCATAGAGCAAATGTTAAAAGATCGAGCATAGCGGATACTACCAGAGCACCTGTACCGTGATTCTGTAACATTAAGAAAAAAGGAGGTTTCAACAATGTGTCGCAACGACAGATTAAATATTTCAACGTTGCGTACTTACAATGTGATTAATCCACATTTCGAGCAAGCTTTCTAGAAATTTATTGCTGCTGAGTAGGCTACTTTTGTTTAATTGTTCTTGTCTTAAATCGCAATCATCATGCATTGGTTGCATCAAAGTGCAAATACAATCTATGGCAGCTTGTGTTACACCGCAATTTTGTCGCTTTAAAGCCTTTACGACCTTTGTTCCAACAGCTTCTCTAAAACCAGGAAGTGTTGTAAATGCAGTGAAACCGATTTTGCTAGCCACCAATCGTCGTAGTGCATGAAATTGTGCCTCAATCTCACTGTTTGTCTCTAGATCTTTGCTGATTAAAGTATTCAAAGCTCCGAGAATAATCTTGTCTTTGTTTTCGGTAAAGATTCCCTGTAAGTAGTCATTCATGATACGATGTACTTGGAGTTGTAACGTTGTTACAGTCCATTCAAGCGGTACAACTTCCTGGACAAACAGAAAATGTTATGTCTCCTTATATATTTTTTATTAATAAATTCAGATGGAAATATTTTTCTTCTAATCTGAAACTTTATAATTTTTTATATTTATATTTTATATTTTATTTTTTTTTTTATTTTTTATATTTTTACGTTAGATTGTATGTTACAAGGGAAAATTCACAAAAGATGTAGTAACCAATGAGTGCAGATGTCAAGAGCATCTTCTGCAGTGAATTTCCTTCGCTGTTTATTCTTTCCTTTCTTATTTCATTATAAAGTTTCAAAAATATTTCAATCTCTGTGTCAATGTACCTTAACCGCTTCAATGTGCTGTATAAATGTGTATTTTAATAAATATAAACATTTAGCTATGTTTCCCATTTATAATCAATATATATATATATATATATACAATAAAATATAGAATATATGCTTTATCTTACGTCTTGAGTAACGGAATAATTAAGACCACTGTATGGTATATTTGCATTAAACCTCTCCAGAATTTCAGCGAATGTACGTCCTCCAGGTGGCTGTTGCAGGAATTTGACATGCGTCGTCTCGACTTCCTCGTCGACAGGTAAATTAAGAGGTCCGAGCCTTTTACCTCTAGCTATAGGATACATTTTCACATGGACATCTCTATTACCGGACGCTCTCACGCCATCCAGCAAAGACGCTAGTAAAGAATCTCTATTCGTTGCGGTATAACTGCGCGTTTGACCATTAAGATATTGTATGGTAAACAGTTGTGGGTTATCATTATCACGAACCAAAGTAAAAATGTCCGATAATGGCCTAAGAGTACAAATGTTATATGTCTGAGGATCTCTTTCCAGCAGGCAAGTGTCCGAGAGACACAGTGTTCTTCTTTGAGGATCTAAATGCCTGCTGGAAATCTTGTGTACGGTGAATTCCGAAACACTCGTTATATGCTCGTCGCCACTAAATTTCCCTAATCTTTGAGCAATGAAATCGTCCAGCTTTATAGGTTCCTTCAACATTTTTATGTTAATGCCTAAATTGTTTAATGCAGCTTCCTGTAACTTTTTCTTAATCTCTTCCATGTGCACAGAAGCAAAGAGATGTAGGCGACCAAAGCCACCACATACAATCACAAATCCATTGGGATAATCTTTCATCGTCAGTAGCCCCTCGAAATCTTTATAACAATAACTAGCTAATACCATGTTTGTAGCAGGATCTAGTTGATCAAGACTGTATGGTGTTATTTCTAACACTACAGGCAATCTTGTATCAGACCAGTGATGTTTGTAAGCTTGATATCTCTACAATTATATAAATTATTTTACTAATGTTATGCAAAATTATATGTAGCTTGGGTTTTTTCTTTCTCTCTTATATGTGTGAATCTCTTGTACACATATAATACAACATACAAATGATACCAAAGATATCTATGGTTACATTATATTGGCCATATGGCTGCAAAGATAACACACAAGCCAATCCATGTTACAATATGTTTCAGTATTATAGAAGTACATGCAATAAAAAAATGTACATGAAAAAAGAAAAGAGAATATAAATGTACATGAAATGTACATGAAATGTACATGAAAAATGAAAGAGAGAAAGAAAAAAGCAAAAATGTATACAAACTCACCAAATTTTCTTTAGGTTTCTCAAACTGATTTCTGTATTTCAGAGCTTCGGTCAGCAAATGTGATCTGTGTTCCGAACTAAATTTCATGGTATCATTTTTCCGCTCTTTACGCATAGTTATGGTAAATTCATGGGAACCTAATTGACTTTTATTTACTGGCTGTACATTTATGAAGTCAGAATACTCCCACTTGTTTGTAACATCTAATGTGCTAGGATTGTATGTTGTTATCCCCATGGAGCCAATGGAAAAGATACGTTTGTACCTAATTTTATGATTGTAATATAAATATAGACATAGCACATTACTATTAAAAGAAGAATTACAGTATTATTGTAGTTAATGTCACTATAATTGATAAAGATATTTAGATATCAAAAATTATATTCGACTTTATATGAGTAATCTGTGATGTATTAAATATTTATTTTATAGTCATTCTCTAAATCTTTCTAATATTTTTAACTCAATTACAGAAACTTTACATGAGGAAAATTGTACTTACTTTCCCTTCCATGAATGTTTGGTAACCAAAAAGCATGCCACATCTTGATTGTCCTTTATCGGCATCATTGTTTCATTTCTTGCGGACGCAAATGCACCGATCTAAACAATGTTTTAACAAATCACTGAGCACTACTTGCACAAGACAAGTGGCGTAGGAGAACATTCGCGCACGAGTTATAAAATTACACGATAGTCATTATTTAAAATGCAGGTCTAAGGAAAAAGGATATGAACTTTTACCGTGTACCTCTTGCCCCTGATCTTTGTTTAAACGGGCGATATACTTATTTAGGCACACTTTAATCCTTTTTATCTAACAAATGTCATTTTCGACAGGTCCGTCAGCCTGGAAGCGGCCATGATGCTCGTGGACGGTTGGGGGTGTTACCGAACAGCTGTTTCTAGATGTCAGCACTGCGCCGTGCAATATACATCACGCTCATTTTTACTAGTAGTGCTACCTGTATTATTGAGGATTTTGACAGAGTATACATCATTAGTTATGGAATATTTTCTAGAAGAATTAAAGTATGGATGAATGCAAAATACATAGTGAGGGTGAAGAAGGAGAAATTATATCAGACTTTGAAGAGGACTTTACAGAAGAGTTATCTAATTATCCTCGTATTTCACAATTTATACAAAAACTGTGTGATCATATCAAGAGGCAACGGAAGAAAATTAATAAACTACGAAATAAACTTGCCGAGCAGGTATATATATGTATATCTTTAGCAAAATAATAATTCTTATATTTGATAGTGTAACTTTTTATATTAGTTGCGTATTTATCTGACCCAGACAGCACAAGATCTCCTCAGGATGTCCTGAGGATGAAGAAATGTCCTCTTGATGTCTCCTGGACATCTGTGCTGTTAGGGGAGGAATATATAAACATATTGATTTGATATTGTATCTCTAATAAAGAATTAATGTAGATTCTAACTATAGAAATATAGATTATACAGATTTATATTTCTGTAGTAAAAGAATTAATATTGACATTCTTGATATAACTTCTTTAGTAAAAGTTGTAAAATACTTTTCTTTTTTTATAGAAACACCAAAACTTGCTTCGTGAGAAAACTTATGTAGACTGTGGAACTCAGACAGATCCTCTAAATTTTGATAAGTCTTTATCACAAGATTGGGATGTTAGTAATGATGATAAATCACATAGTATAGTAGATCAAGTAAAACAAGTAGCAGAATCAGCTTTATTACAAACTGGTTTTGTATACGAAGAAACATCTGGAATGTATTATGATTATAACACTGGATATTATTATGACACGGTATATATTATTAAGCTCATTTATATCAAAATTATATATGTTATCTTAATGTATATATATTGTATATATTAATGTATATATATATATATTTTTTTTAATATATATATATATATATATGTATATGTTAATATAATATATGTTATCTTTCTTGATTCTAAAAAATGAAAATGATTAATATTTATAGTACTAATGTTATTTTAAAGCGACAAGGCCTGTATTATGATGGAAATACTGGAACATATTATTACTATGATGAAGCTAGTAAGACGTATCAATTCCACAGTCAAGTCCAAATTTGCACAAATGAAGCTACCAATATTCACCTTCCTGCCACGCAAAAAAAGGAACGGGAATCTGGGAAAGTAGATAAGGTTACTATTCTGCAATTAATTCCACACTTAGTAATATATGTCAGACTTTTGTAAAAAATATTTTGTATGTTGTTTTTGATTACAGGTTTCAGATGAGATAGATGAATTAATAAAGGACTTCTCAAATATAACAGTTAGAAGATACAAGCGACAAGCTTTAGGTAATTATCCTATGGTTTTAATGTGCATACGTGTCTCTCTTGTAGGATAACGTGAAAAAACGAAAACACGAAGAAAATTCGGCAGAACCCGAGGATGGTGAATGCTCTGAGAGCGAAAATGATGATACATCCGAAGAAATTACTCCTGACCTATCTACTAATAGTGAAAGCGACCGCGATGAAGAACAAGGTTTTTATTTATATATTTATTTTTCTATTTTCACTTTGTAGAAAGATATCTTATATCTCTCACTGCAATTGTCCTTTCATAATTATTTATCGTCAAATACGAAAAATTAACAAAATAACTTTCAATATCTTTCCCTTATATTTTTGAGAATACTATTTTATTATATTTTATATTTTATTTTTCTTCTATACTTTATTAATATTAATGTAGATATATTTTCAATTGTTTTAACAAGAGAGAAAAAAGCTACAACCGCGGAAATTTCTTTTTTGTTTCTGACTTCATCAACTCTATATTTATATATAATTTATTATATACCACTAGTACTTTAGGTGATAATATCTATATCTTTCTTATAGAAATATCTAGTCTACTTGTCGAGTAGATATATATTTAGCAAAATAATAATTCTTATATTTGGTAGTGTAACTTTTTATATTAGTTGCGTATTTATCTGCAATCCCAGACAGCACAAGATTTCAGGATGTCCTCTGGATGTCTCCTAGATATCTGTGCTGTTAGGGGAAGAATATAGAATATCTTATAGAATATCTAGTCTATATCTTTCTTATTTAGAAATTGTCTATATTCCTCTTATAAAAATTTTATGAAAGGAATGTAATGGGAGGAAAAAAGTTATTATGTTGCGTTAAACGTATGTTAAAGAATTGACTAAAATATTTAATGAATCGTTAATGTAAAAAAACTATACATAATGTATATAATTAGGTGTTACATTTTCATTGTCAAATAATGTTATGAACATTAAAATGATGAGAATATTTTCAATTCTAGATTTAGCGAAAAGTTATCCGCCATGCATAAGGATTATTGTCAAAGAAACCAACTTGATGAAATTAAAAGTGGGTTGCCTTTTTCTCATACCATATACAGGAGGTTCATTAGGTAGAGAAGGAGATCATTCAGTATTGATACCGGATGTAAATATCAGCAAGGTATATAATCAAAGTTTCTATTCTTAAATATAGGATATATAAAAATTGACTTAGGCCTATGTATCACCTACCATCTATTTTTCCATACATGGCTATAATACGATAGTAGTATCTTCACTTATTTCATCTTGAACAAAACTGCGATCTTTGACATCTTACCATAAAAATATTGATTATCTTGAAATAGCTGACTCAAAGAATAAGATAAGATTATAATGTTTTAAAAAAGTCTCAAGGCAAAAAAATAGGGGGTCCCATCTCTAAAAAATTCAAAGTTGCCTTGACTTTGGCGATGTCATCCAAAGTCAAACTGATAAAATCAGAGATAGACAAGATAAATAGATATTTTTAAACTGTACAACTTTTATCTGAAACATTTTTTTTATAAAACTCATATTTCTCGAATTCCGTGATCCCGACCTTTTTTATACGTACTGCATACTCGTTCTTAATTTTTTCCTGTGATATTAATAATATAGCAACTATACATATGTACATTTACAGTATCACGCACGTTTTATGTACGACGAGACTAAAAAACAATACCAAATAATAGATTCTGGCTCAAGAAATGGCACATTTTTGAATGGCAAGAGATTGTCGGTAGCTAAGCAGGAATCGGAACCTTATGAGATAACGCATGGTTCGATCATCAAGATCAGCGAGACCAAATTACTATGCCATATTCATAACGGAAATGAGACATGTGGTCATTGCGAGCCAGGTCTTGTCCAACAGAGCACCAGTTCCAATGAGAACAAAACTTCGAAGAAAAAACTGCACAAGAAAGAGTTACGGCGTCTGAAGCACAAATTCGGAGTCGAAAAGGATAATGTTACATCCAGTAGTCAATTAGCTTCAGGCTATCAGGATAGAGCGCAAGCCAGAAGACAACATGTAGGTTCCTCGAGTCACCATGCTAAGACACAACAGAGTTCTCTCGACTGGTAAGCATTTCACGACATTTGGCTTTCTTCGCGTAAAGTAAGCGTCTTTAAAATTTGAAACTGTTGAGCTTTATCAGCGAATATTCACAGGTCGATATCAAAGGATAACAAAGGATTCCAAATACTTACGAAAATGGGTTGGTCGGAAGGTCATCCCTTGGGTAAAGATGGAGACGGAATAAAGGATCCCGTAAGTCATTTTCTTATCGTTACTAACTTATCTCGATTATCACAAGAAGATGCAGCGAGTGTCGGAGACAAAGGGCCTTCATGGACGGGCTATCACCAGGTTCTTAGCTCTTGGAACGATTGAACTTTTGTTACGACGAAATTCACTTCGAGTTCCTCGTGAAATGGATCGTCGAAGAAAAAGACGACGATAAATATCAGCTCGCGCGTTACATTCGGTGCATTCGTCACCGGGAACGAACAAATGCAAAGTGTAGCGATAGATCGGGCTGGAAACTGCACCACGTACTTCTAATTTAGCACAAGCCAGACAGACTAAACTCGCACGTGTGTCCGAAGAGGGAAAAATAAAGAGAAGAAGCGGATACACGCTCGACTCATTAGCCAAGCGTGGTTGCTACGTCGCAATCCGCGATATCTCCCCTTCCTTCCTTCCTCGCTCGCTCGCTCGCTCGCTCGCTCGCTTCCTTCCCGGCCACACCGGCGCGTCGTGCCGATCTTGTTCCTGGTGGTAGCCCGTCCGTACGTCCGTCCGTGTCGCATTTCGACGGCATTTCGACGAAACGAGCGCCGTCGGCACACGAGCAGAGCATTCGTATGATAACGAGCGTAACTCTGCGAAACGTGGAATGGCGAAAGAAGAGACGCGCGGGCCGTGAGCCGCGGCGGAAAGGCGGAGAGAGGTGCCCCGGGGTAATGAATGCAAATGTATTGAAATCCAAATCATTATTTTGTCTAGACGCATCGTATGCCCCATTGCATACGCCGGAATACAGTCGACCGGCGGTGCTTGTGCGCGTAAAAGGATTAAAGGGTGGGATAAGAGGACTGTTATTTTCTCTCGTCTGGTACCTCTCTCTGTCCACTGTCGCCACCCATTTGCCCGTCCCGCCGTAGTCCCTGCGGTCTCCTACTGCCTGTCCGTCTTTTTTTGTCAAATTTGTCCGCCGCTCTCTAAAACCGTTGCTTCCGCTAGACGTAGACCAGAGAGAGCCGCTTCGCTCCGCGCTTTTTGCTCGTAAAGCATCGTCCGCAGCCTGCCGGGGCGCAGGCTGTATTTTCTACGTAACGCGCATCCTCTCTCACGCGGCTCTTTCTGATTTACTTTTAAATGGAATGCCACGAAGCGCGCGTGAAATGCTGAGATATCAGTGTAATAGACAGGTTTGTTCTTCTGAACGATCAGTCTGAAATCTGCAAAGTGTTTATGAAACACAGTTGACTACGCAATTATTCTTCCGTATCGCGCAATTATAGACAGAGAATTAGATTCTTCCTAGATCTCTTCGAGCTTCTATAACTCTGCCAGAGTTTCACCTTAAAAAAAAAAATCGCGAGAGATCTCGCGAGAGCTGACTGGAAGTTACTATCGCAGACGCTGACTACTTCGCTTTTACATTGGATCCGTTTTTACGTCACTGTCGTTGTCTTTACGCGCGCCGCTTCACGCAGTTGCAGTCTGCAGACCACGTAACACCCGCACCATCCTCGAATGCGCGTTCTCGCACTGAGATGTGACCTATATCGTAAACGACGGAGACAGAGAAGAGGCTACTACGGGCTACGCGAGAAACGGAAGGAAGACGGGCGGGCTGTTGCGTTGCGTCTAGTCTCAGTGAGGGAACCGTAAACCAGACATTGTAAAACTCGCGAATGGCGATTGCCAGTAAACCGCGCGCGGAGATGCGATAGACGATAGGTATAAAACCACCTTACGAAGGTGATGCCTGCGTACGCGAGTCCGTGTTATACTCGAACGGATAAAATCTGGACGGGTTCATTTATCTAAGTGCTTCACCGCCGAGGTGGTTACGTTATACACGCGCGAGTCGTCGTAAGTTACTCTGAAAATACAAATATTCTTCAGTCCTCCGCAATGTATCGACGAGTATTTCGACGTCGATTTTCTCGGATACTCGACCGGTTACATGCAAACGATCAGGATGTGAATGGATAGGAAAAAGAAAGATTTCACTGTCACAGCTATGTCATGGTTTGCTGAGAATGTAGTGAGTACTGAGTACTGAGAGAAAAATATCTGAAAAATATATCATTTTCAAGAAAATATACATTTTCTTGAAAGCTTAGGAGAACTTTTCATGAAAAAGGCGATTATTTACTCTATTTAAATAAGATAATTGAAGTAAATGTTATCCCAGTGTACCCACCAAAGAAATTTTTATTTTTTAAGTATATTTTCTCTCAGTGTACTGACAGCTGTACTTTTAGATATCCATATGTTGCAACGGGACTTAGCTACCGCACACAGATTCTTGCTGTCGTAGCAATTTTTTTTGTCGGTATAGTTTCGCGCGAGGTCACACGTAGCCGCGACAATTCTTTCATCATCTGTCGCGGGTATTCGGAAAAAGTGCACGTCTATTGAGAAAATAAACGGACGGCGACTCGAAGACACTCGAGAAGACTTGTCCGACTGAGTTACATTTCTTTATCTCGTTTCACCGAGGCAATAGGCATAATCACGGCGCGCTCGGGCGCCTTACATCTTGGACTACACAATCGGCACGCTGCGGCAAACGCTCCGGCCGCCAAGTAGTCGCAAACTGCATCCGGGAACTGCAACGATTTCATTTTATAGACTTCCCTGAATATCGACTGCCGGTGAGCCATTTCGCAGATAGAGCGTACCGAGCCGCCGGTTGGCTCCTTTTACGATTTACATCCATTTCCATATTGCACCTGTTCGCGGTTTACAATCCTCCGCGGAAAAACTCGTCTGATTAATGACACGATAAATAATCCGCCGGCCGCGCGGCCTGTCGCGAGGCAATGAGGATTCGTCGTGTTTCCATAAAACCCGAAGGCGGCACCTCCGATTTTCCGAAGAACGCGAGAGACAAATCGCCAAAGGTGTGTCGATGCGAACGAGACCCACTCATGGTGACGCGGAAACGACTGTCAACGGTGAAGATATTTTTACTCCGGCGAGGAACCTGGACGAGGAGATCAATTCAACACGGAATCGATCAATTAACTCAAAAGAGAGACGTGAGATCTCGCGAATCATCGGTGTTTACGTAGGAACGGGCATCGATCGCGCTTGTTTGCAGGCGATACACCCGGCATTAATTAATCGGCATCGGACAGGGATGTTTTGTGTGTATGAGAAAGAAAGAGAGAGAGCCCGCGAAAACAAGCGAGAAATCGCCTGGCGATTTGCACGCGAAAACTTGTTGTTGCATTTCGCCTCTTGTTTCTTCGCTTATTTTCTGCGCATCGCGCCGCGCCGTCTATTTGTCTGCCGTACCTTTTTCTGCCGGCGAAAACAAAAACAGTGGTGAGAGGAGACGAAAGAAGGGGAGGAGGAAGGAGATGAAGAGAGAGAGAAAGAGAGAGAGAGAGAGAAGGGCTCGCGGTGCAGCGGAAGCTGACCGCGAGATGCACATACGCGCGGCGAAGCCGCGGGCGTTACGGTGTGGAACGCAAGGTCGTTGCGATATTATGTAATGCAGACAGGTGGAGACTGCAACGCGATTTCAACAATCCTCGCGACTCGCCGCAAGGCGACGCAAGGCGCGAAGATGCTTCAGAACGAAGACTTTTGACGCGGGAATTCTTTCCGGAGCATCGTGTTTGCGTGGAAGAGGTTTGCGGATGAGACACTCGGTCTCACCGCGCAACAAATACGTCAAGAATCCAATTCGTCTTCTCTCGATCGTCTGTCGAGAAGCTCGCATTGTCATCGGAATTTGGGGCGAACCTGCGAGCGAATGAATGCGGACGGAGTTGGAATGGAAACAGGTCAATCCGCAGATACCGAGGATACTCTTCTCCCGTTGCTCTGTACATTTTTTCGAGTCTTTGTCATCCAAGGCTGAATGCCGGCTTTGATTTTGTAGTGCTTAGTGAACGGATTCGCGATGTTCCAACGTTGCAAAATCCTTTGGATTTTCCGCGTTTTTACAGCGTTCTCTTCTGCTAATCTCTTCCCCAAAATTGCACTTTTATTTTCGAGCGTGATTCTTAATCGGAAATTGAAATCTCGAAAGAGTTGATAAGTTAAATATAATTACAAGAAATTTATATAAGCTTCACAGTGCCACAACGAAGTTAAATAAAATATTAAAGTGTGAAAGTAAGATGGAAATTTCGCCTCGGGTATAATGGCGGACTTTTGCGTCTAGTCGCAACTTGTTTGCATCCGGTATCAGTATCGGGCTTCGGTCGGAATGTTTTGAAAGCATTAACCGCGAAAAACAGGCAAGGCCTACGGATACAAGAGCAAATCGCCGATGTTGATTCCCGCGCCTCCACGATTCGTTCCCGATAGCTTGTTGTCGTCATTAATCTCTTGTTCTTTTTTCTTATTTTTCCCAGGCCATCTGTTTATTCGCTGCGCCTTTTTCTTTTGGCGACACAACGAAAACAGTGTCGGGGGTAAAAAGAGAACGAAAGCGAAGATCGCGCGCGCCTACCACTGAGAAACCACTTGCCGGCCGGTGCGCGAACCGCAAAAGGCAAACAACTTGATTTTACGTACGTCCTTCTAATGCGGCTTTTGATACGATCCCAATCAGAGCAAGTTTCCGTCCCGACCCGAATCGTCGCCAAATTTTCAAGATTCATCGAACAAGTATAAGATAAAAGCTTCCTACACTAGCCATAATTTAAAACTCTTATGAATCACTCAAGATTATGAATCCCTCACGATTCTACGACTTTCTCAACTAGATACCGATACTTTCTCTACATTTTTCGTCGACCACAATGTCTGCGATTTCATTAACACTCCACTAACGATAAGAAAAAGAGGAGAGAGAAAGGGAAAGAACGAAAATACGCAAAGATACGTATATATCTTTGAAGCATTGTCTCGCACAGAACGACGACGATCAAGACGTCTTAAAATCAGAATCGACGGAGTGAATGACGACGCGCAAGATTTACGACGCGCTAACCGAATAGAGTGGAAGAAAATCGCATGAAAAACGGAAGAAAGGGAGAAAGAAAAGCTGAGCGGTAGCGGGAGGCAGAAAGAGG